GCATCTGCAGAATCCTAAAGATGGCAAGTCGATGCATATCGATGCGAGCAAGAAAATTGGCGACTTCTTTAGCAAGGTCAAGAATAAGGCTGTCGATGTTGAGAAGATACTTAAGGACAAGGACAAGCACGGACTTGTGCAGAAGTTCAAGGAGAAGACGGAAATTGTTGAGAAAAAGGTGCAGGCCAAAGTGGAGAGCCTGCAGAAGGCCGTGGAGACGCACGAGGAGCAGCCGCAGGATCTAAAGAGCAAGATTGCATCCAAAATGGAGGTCACTCATGTCATGGAAGTGGCCCAGCTGCTGCTCTCGCTGCTCCATTCCTGGGGCCTGGATCCGCATCTAGACAAAGTCTGCGAATCCCAATTGGGCCTACTGCGTCCCATTGTACCCATCTCGTACGGTGTATTGTCCAAGGCCGGCTATATGTCGTTGCTATTGCCCACATGGCAGAACAACTACGAGATACCACCGGGACTGCAATTGCCCTCCAGCTCCAAGAAACGCATGTTGCCTGAGGAATTGCAGCGCCTGGAGCACTTGACAGCCATTTTCACTTCTCGTCTGCACTGGGAGCTAAGCACCACATTGACATCAAATCATATACTGGCCTTGGTGGCCATGTCCAATACGCTGATGTCGATGAGCGCCGCTTCGTTTCTTCCAGACAGCGAGAAGCACAAGAAGCTGCAGCGCTTGGCTCAGTATGCTGAGTCAACGCAAGGCGCTGAGGAGGAGCTGCTCGCCCATCACACGTCACAGATCAAGCAGGGCTGGAGTCTGTTGTCCACTCACCATTGCTTCTTGCTGCCCGACAAGATTGAGGCGCTGGAGCCAAAGAAATTCAAGCGTCCCCAGGTGGAGATGATGGTCAAGCGCTGGCAGCATCATTGCATCGAGATACGCGAGGCAGCCCAGCAAATCCTACTGGGCGAGCTCACTCGCATGGGCAAGAAGGGACGCAAACAGCTCGTGGAGAGCTGGGCACAGTATTTGCCGCTCTACACACACACCGAGCCAATTGTGGGCGCTCAGCAGATGGCGGCCATGACGAACAACCAGGCGGGTGGTTCGGGCGGTGGTGTTGGTACTGGTAGTGGTATCAATTCCTCAATGGGCAACGGCAGCGGCTCGATGTCGGGCGGTCAGGGCATGTCAGCTGGTGGCAACGGTGTAGGCTCCAGCGATCAACAGGATGAGGACTATGAGGAGGAGGAAGAGGAGATCATACGCAAGCCGTCCAGTCTGTCAGAGCTGAAGCGCAAGCAGACCACCGCTGTGATCCTGTTGGGCGTGATTGGTGCCGAGTTCGGGCAGGACATTTCACAGGAATCGCCCAACCATCGCGGCAGCATTAGCCTGGGCCATACCAACACCGAACGACGCAAATCCTCGGTAGTCGAAGGCTTTGGCATCGCCAACAATTTGGCTCGGCTCACCTCCATGGCGCTGGCTCATCTGCTGTATGCGCCGCCATCCCCAAAGCTGCCGCAATATACGCCATTGCGTCGTGCGGCCATCGATCTGCTTGGGCGTGGCTTTACCGTTTGGGAGCCCTATCTGGATGTGTCGAAGGTGCTGCTGGGCCTGCTAGAGATCTCCTGTGAGGGCAAGTCGGTGCCAAATCTCAACTACAAGCTACCCCTGACCCCACAAGCCGATGCCTGTCGCACCGCCCGCCATGCCCTGCGCCTGATTGCCACCGCACGGCCAGCAGCGTTTATTACGACCATGGCAAGGGAGGTGGCCCGATACAATACAATGCAACAGAATGCCCAGTCGATCAATACGCCGCTCACCCAATCTGTGCTGTACAAGGCCAAGGGCGAGATATTGCAATGCGTTGAGATGCTGATCGATAAAATGCAATCGGAGATCGCTGGCCTACTGGTGGAAGTGATGGACATTGCGCTCCATTGCGTCGATAGCAATGAGCTAAAGGGTCGCGGCTTGGCCGAGCTCTGTCCGTCTATATGCAAATTCAATCAAATTTCGCATTGCAGCCAAACCCGGCGCATCGCTGTTGGCGCCAATAGCGGAAATTTGGCCATATACGAGCTGAGGCAGAACAAGTGCCAAATGATCCCCGCCCATACGTATCCGATTACCTCGTTGGCCTTCTCGCCAGATGGCAAATACCTGGTGTCCTATTCGTGTGCCGAGAATCGCCTGTCCTTCTGGCAGACAAGCACCGGCATGTTTGGCTTAGGTCAATCCCAGACGCGCTGCACCAAGGGCTATTCCACGGCTCCCATACCGGATGTTTCGCGGCTGAATCCGATGCGATTGGCCAAGCTCGTCTGGATTAATAATCGAACCGTGACGTTGATGCTGGCCGATGGTTCGGAGACGCGGTTCAATGTTTAAAATTCATCTGGGAACGACTGTCGATAGCGGCTTATCGATAAGCATATTGCCAAATAGGCGACAAAATACAACAATCGTAATCGGTATATCGATTAACATGAAAAGGTTAACGAGCAGCAGTTATTGGTTTAACGATTCAGCAAACATTTCATCATTTCGTCATTGTGTTATCGATAACACTTTCGATTGTCCGACAAAGAACGAAGCCAACGTCGTTAGGCCACATACTGAGCAGCCGAGCTGCATACTATTTAGGCAATCAACAACGCGGGCTTCAAAAGCGAGCGAGACACGATCATCAACTGAAACAATAAATAGACAACAAAGCTTACAAATAAATAAAAAAAACAATAACAATAATACAAAACAAAAACCGATAAAAAAAAAAAAAAAAATTAGATGAAAAAAAAAAACAACCAAAACAAAGCGAAAACCTAAAAAAAACTGTTATTTATTATGTATAAAATATATAAAAAACGAAAAGCAAACATGCAAACTTTTATTTGTATATGTATTTTAATTGTATTTTGTGCGATTTTAAACGTTCTTAGCTTAAATTGTTTAAAAGAGCAACTAAAGAAAAACACTAAACGAAACTATTCCGATTACCAAAACAATTGAACCAACTCACATACAATGAGGGTAGTCCCTTAAGCACAATAAACGCAGCTAGGCAGTTACATTTTATTTTCATTTTAAATATGAACTTTTATAGACAAATTGCTTTGGCTATTCGGAATGGGAAATCATTGCTGTTGAATATTTATGTAATTATCATACAAATAAGCGAAATAATAATGTTTGTTTTTTTAGATGAAAGTAAAACCACACATAAAATATATAAAAATAATATAATCCAACTACAAATGGAATTGAATACTAAGAAGAAAAAGAAGAAGAAGCAAAACAATACCAATATAAACAAAGAATGAATGCTGTTATTACTTCCTATGCTATTGTAATTATTATTATTATTAAATACTATTATTATCGATATTGATATTTGTTAAACCTAATGTATTGTTATTATCTATCTACAATTATAAAAAAAAAAACTTGTATTGCGCAACGTTGCTACTTTATATATATAAAAAAAAAAACAAAGGAACATTTAATATATTAATTTTTTTTTTGTTTTTATAAAAGTTGAAATGAAACGCTATATCTATTATTTTGTTTTTGTTAATTTTTGCGATTAGCAAGCTCTAAAGTTAAACATTACTTCATTAAAACATATTCGAACCTTAAGAAAAATATTATATGCAAAATACGAAAACGAAAGCTTAGCAATATTAAACACAAACACACACACATAGAGACACACACACACACACCTGTATTTATATATGTATGCTTGTATAGGTTAAAATATAAACACACATACACACACACACACACACACGCAGTAATACACGTACACATACATATATGTACTACAGAATATATTAAATTATATTTGTGCTTAATTTGAATTACTAAATATGTGAGAATATATATGTATCTATGTATGTATGCGTATATTCGAGGTCCTTCAATCAAAGTATTACACAAAATGAAATAATGAAAAAAATTAACATGAAATATAATATATATGTATATATATATTTATATATATACATGCAAGAAATAAAGTCAAAAACCAAAAATTAAATAAAATAGTTTTTTTATATTTTACTTATATATTTATTGACGCTGTTGGTCGATTAAGTTTGTTCAAAAAATCGATAGCCATTGCTGTTGTAATGTTATCGATTTTGTCAACAAATAAATGTTATACATCTTAAGATCTCGAAATTTTGCCAATACATCAATGTGAGTTTCGAATATTTCTCATACTTGGAATACTGAATTTTTGTATACCTTGAATACTGAAACCAAATTGGCATTATCAAAAACAAGGATATTTCAAGTATTACAAGCTTGCGCGTTGGCTTAATCAAATGAATATCATGAGTCTCATATTCTCCAAGATTGATCCATTTATAACAAAAGTTATTTACAAATCAATCATCGCTGCGCCAATTTCACAGTAAGCAATAAGCGTGTGTGTGTGTGTGTGTTATTTTTTGTGTATGCAGATTCTGCATTGCAGAAGGTAAATGGGGAATTTTTAGAATATCAGTTCTTCCAGGTATGAAGTTCTTGCAGTAAATTTGAGGTAATATTTAGATAAACGTTCAATTAAAATTTCATTTTTATTGCGCCTATATCATATCCATGCAGCTCCATATACATATGTACATATGCTCTTTGTCTCTTCTATGTAATCGATCCCGGTTTTCGTGCTATCTACCTGTCTCTTTCTAAACTATGTACCATGTGGATATACAGTCTCTTATATAAATCAACAAATATTGTAATAAATATTACAGAGAGGCTATTATAGACAGGATAGAGAAATGCATATAGATATCACAAGAGATCAGATTGGTGCACAATACCATATAATAGCAGGGATTAAAAGAGACTTATCCTACTGAAACTTGATATGTCCCAGAACTGCAATGCTTTTTTTATAGTGTTCGATATACTTCTTTGTTTTCTTGTCTAGTGGGAAACATAAAAAGATGCGATCTGAAAAGGAGCAGTCGTATTTGTGTTAAGAATATTTTGAACAAGTTTTTCAATTTTCCAGCAAGCAGACGGCAACAATGCCCGAGACAGAGACGAGAAGCACCGGTCAGCGGGGGAGGCCCAGAAAGACAGCCGCTGCTGTGCGAAAAATCGCACGGCCGTCCCATGAAGAGGATGATCGGATAGAGACGAGTAGTAAGACGCACGGGAAGTCGCTTAAGGCGAGCGAAGGTGGCCGGGAGCAAAAGCAACAGGAACAGGAGTCGGCGGATGACGGCGACACGGTCGACGAGGCGGCCGATCTGGCGAATGACGAGGACGACGTGGCGGAGGAGGACGATGCGCCCGAGGACAGCAATGAGGCGAGCGACGCCGAAGAACAAGTGGAGACGCCGGCGTTTAGCCTGGCCACGCTTGGACTGCAGCGCGTGGGCACTGTGCAGCCGCCGAAGCCGAAGACGCAAAAGCCGCCCATACTTCCGCTGAATGCACGTGGCATGCCCGCCCGGATACGAAAGCGCAATCGGCTCTTCTACGACGAGAACATCATCAACGATGACAAACCGTTGCGCGTCAGTTTAGCGCCCAAAAAGATGTCCACCCGCGGCTCCGGAGACAGTCCCAGCAAACTGCTGACGACTCCCTCGAAAGTGCTCAAGAAGCGAAAGGGCGTCGTCTCCCGTTACATGCGCTCCAATGACAGTGCCTCCACCTCAAACTCCAACTCGGGTGCGGAGGCGACGGAAAAGCAGAAGAAGTCCACGCCGGGCAAGCAGCCACTGAGGGCGACGTCCCCAACAGCCGGTGGCAAGGGGCAGCAGCAGCAGCAGCAGCAGATGCCACAGATGGCCGGGCACCTGCGACCGGGCCGAGGCGCCACAAGCGGGACAAAGGGCGCTGCGGCGGCGGCAGCTGCGGCTGCGGCTGAGGATGCAGCGCGAAAGGCCGAGGCGCAGGTGGTGGCCAACAAGCGATTGGGTCAAAGCATTGGGCTCCGGTTGCGCAACCTCCTGAAGCTGCCCAAGGCCCACAAATGGGCGATTGCCGAGTGGTTCTATTCGTACATCGACAAGCCGCTCTTCGACTGCAAGTACGATTTTATGAACAATGTCAACGAGCTGGCTCCACGGCTTGGCACGCGCAAGCTGAATCGCCACGAATGGGTCAACATCAGGAGGCGCATGGGCCGACCCAGACGCTGCTCGTCGGCGTTCTTCAGCGAGGAGCGGCGGGAGCTGGAGCGCAAGCGTCAGCTGATGCGCACGCTGCAATCGTGCAAGTCCGGCGACCTGAAGGACACCGTGCTGATAGCGGATATGCCAGAGAAGATCCCAATGCCGTTGCCATTGGGCACCAAGGTGACGGCCCGATTGCGGACGCCACAGGACGGCATCTTTGCCGGCACGGTGGCTGCCTACGATTCGCTGAATGCCATGTACCGGGTGACGTTCGAGCGGCCTGGATTGGGCACGCAGTCGATACCGGACTATGAGATTGTGTCGGAGAACTTTCACGAGATGCTGCCGTTGCACAGCTTCACCAAAGACTTCCGGCCCAACTTGATGAGTATCTACCAGACCAACAACATGGGCTACACCACCGACCTGGGCTTCACCACCAACTTGGCCAGCAGTAAACGTCTCCCGCTGGTCGCTTCGGCCGGCAATGTCAGCAGCAGCAGCAACAACTCCTCGACTCCCCAAAAGAATCTGGTCAACAACAATGCGGCGGCACGAAATGCTCTCAGCATGAAGCTAAACAAGAGTGATCCGCTCTTGGGGCAGGACGCGATTGGGGAAAGTCCAATTAGGATGCAGCTGGTGCGACATGGCTATCCGCCCAAGCTGCTCGAGCATCTGGTTCTGCTCCAGAACTTTATTGCCCTGAAGGAGTCCAAAATTCAGCGGCTGGCTGAGATGAATGCCACCGCAGAGCTTGCCATGGGTGAACTGATGGGCCAGGACGAGGCCATCGCCGACCATAGTCGCCGTCAGCTGCGCGATGACTTTCAGCGTCGATATGCCTCGAATATCATAGCGATCGAGCGCATCAACGGGGATCTCATGTACGAGCTGACCAGGGTGCAGGAGCTGTCGAACAGCCTCACACGGGATCCAAATGTCCAGGCCATGATATCGCCGACGCTGCTGCGCGAGGAATGCCGGGCCAAGGCCAGCCAGACGGTCGACGAGTTGAACAAGGGCGTGGTGAAGAGCGAGCGGATGATCGCTCTGCTCAAGAATCTGACCACATTGCTGATTGTCATACAGAACTTGGACAGCGACTGCGATGCGGCCGAGGTGCACAAGGTGCTCGAGGGGTGCATCGAGGAGGTGCGCAGCAATCTCATCTGCAGTGCCAACAGCGAGGTGTTCCAGAAGAACGTGCAGCTGCGACTCGAATTTATTGCCCAGGACATCAATCGCAATATTGAGGAGCGCAGCTTTAGCCAAGGATCCGTCAAGTCACCAAAGTCCGAGTTGGGTAAGATGGGCAGCAGCTCCAAGCGAACAGCCGGGGACAAGGACCGCAAGGAGAAGAAATCGACAAAAGAAGCCAAGGAGAAAGATAGCAAATCCATGCTGCTGGAGGAGTCGGACGTGGAACCCATGGATGTTGACAGTGAATCCGATGACGATGACGAGCCCAATGACGATCGGGCGGAGCAAAAAAAGGGCAATAACCGTGATGTGGATGGTGCGAATGCTGATGCGAATGCTAGCGTCAAAGTGAATGCAAATATGAAAGTGAATGTGAATGCTAACGAGGATGCGAATGGGGATTCGCATACGGATGCCGAGGCAGATGCAGAAGGAGACGCTTCGGATGCGGTGGACAAGATCGATGACGATGATGCTTCTGGGACGGAAGATGCCGAAAATACCGACGACGGTGCCGATGATTCGCAAATAACGATCGAGTCGGCGAAGGAGTCAGAAGATGAGACTCAATCGAATGACGACAAGGATGAGAAAGATGACGATAAGTTGGATGAAGATATCATTCAGGAAGTGGGCACTGGCTGCGAGGAATCCGAGGATGAGTTCCAATTCGAGAAGTAACGAGAAGCATCCGGGAGCGAGCTGCGAAACGTATGTACTTCAGTTAAGCCTTAAAATTAATTTTAAACACCCTTCTTTTCCCGCTCATATGTATGTATATACATGCATGTATGATGATGTATGTGTTTATAGCATATATATATATATATATATGCTATATACACATACACATATATACACACACATATTTTGTATAGGTGTATATATATATTAATATACATTTACATATATATAATATAATATATAATTGTCATAATACTTCTATAAACATACGTATATACACCTATACATATATATATATATAACTTTTTAATTATTAATTCTTTTTCTTATTGTTCGCATATATATACAATTATATAAATCAAATTTTTTTTGGGATCTGCGGACGTCATATTGAGTGGACGTCTTCGAGCGGAGTTCTATATATTTAAAAAGTAGATCGCAATTTACAAATTTCAATTGTTAATAATATATTAAAACTATCTATCGGACATTATCCGCAACTGAACAATTGATATACACCCACACGCATATTTCAATTTATTCGATTACAATTATCGAGAGTGTCGCAATAAATAAGATTGTAATAAATAAACGCAAATGGTTTTTTAATTCAATTGTATTTTATGTTGGCAAAAGGAACAATTTCAGACAGCTCGCTAATCACCTTCTTCTTATCCTAATCATCATCCTCTTCATCCTCGTCGTCGTCGTCGTCGTCATCGTCTTCGCTCGACTGGTTCAACCAGTCGACGAGCTTGGCGAGACTCTGCCGCAGCGTCGCATGCTCTTCACCATCCAGTTGTTCGTACCATTTGTGTATGGCGTCCTCGGATACAAAGTCTTTGTCGTACAGATAATGCACCACTTGGGAGATCTTTTCTTGCACCAGCTTGTTCTCCTCGCAAATGTCCTAAAAGCAATGAACAGAAAATTAGTGTATGTTGCAGCATTGGCCACAAATGATTGTGGGAATCTGGCCGGGTACCTCCAGAGCCTTGAGGCAATCCGTCATGGCATCCTCGCTCTTAATGTAGTTGGAGACAACGGGTCCCAGTTGCTTGAAAACTGCATTGATGGCTACCATAATGTTGCCGTTAGGCGGCTCGACGATGCTCTCCATGGAAAAGACAGCCTTAACCACATTGAAGTTGACCTCCTTCAGGGACATGTTATACGCATACCGCGAGGAGTTAATTTCGAGAATAAGAAAGTCCGGATTCGATTTCTCCCGATAGCCGCGCGTTAGTGAGTCGATGACCTCCGAGAGGAAGACTGCAATGGCAGAGATGGTACTAATGTTGTTGCTTTATATATTATGTGGTCTGTGCTTACTGTTCGTGTCGTCGGGCAGCGGCGTCACCTGGCGAGACTCGTCCTCGTTGTCATCGTCGTCGCTGGAATAGCTGATGTCGCTATCCGCGTTCGCCGCGTTCTGTAGGTCACACATTTTGGGTATGCAGAGGGTTGTCAGCTGTGGCATCAAGTCGTCGTCCGCATCGGAATCGTCCGGATCACCAGTTGTCTGGTCATTGACAATGTATGCAGCTGGCCCAATGGCTTCCAGTTCAACTGAGAAATGGATTGGCGTGAATTGAAGGTAAGTGATTTGAAGGATTGCGTTAAGGCCTTACCATTGTCGAGCTCCTCGGTGCGCTGTGTGCTGGGTGAGCTGGTGACTAACGTGTTAGCCAGCTTTGTGTTGGCGGGCAGGATGCACTTGGCGCCCAATACGCAGCCAGCGCTAATATCGCTATTCTCGTTGATAACCGCACCGGAGCCAATCACGCAGTGCCGCAGCTGGCAGTTGTCCTTAATAATCACATTGGCCATGAGGAAGACATTGTTGAGCTGGCAGTTCTTGCCTATGCGACAGTTGGCACCAATTACGCTGCAGCTGATTGTGGTGCCGGCATCCACATGGCTGCCCGCCTGTATAACAACGTTCTCCTGCAGTGCCACCTTAGAGACGTTCGCGTCGTGGCTCTTGTAGATATTGTCCTTGTAGAAGACATACTGCTGCTGTAGCTTGTAAACGCCCATGTCGGGCACCAGTGGATAGGCCCAACGGCTAATGATGTCCCGGCTGACCAGCTGATAGGAGAGCCAATTGTTCACTTTGTGCGCATACTGGGCAGGCGGCAGCAGTGCTACGTAGATGCGGCTGTCCAACAGCTCCTCGTTAATCAGCAAGCCCCTAATGAAATCGTCGCGTGTTTGGAAATCAAAATTGTCGCTAAATAGCGACAGCATCGATGGTGAGCCGATCGCTATCTGTGGATCGAGCAGATTGTGATGCAGCGTAACGCACGAGTTGTTAAGGAACACATCCAGCGGTATTTGGTAGCGTGACTCCTTGTGATTCATGCGCAGTCGCTGATGATAGTGCAACCGTGTATTCTGTTTATCCACAGCGATCAAGAGCTCGTTGCCCGTTCGTTCATTGCTGCTGGCGCAGTCCTTGAACACGAGCGTGGCGGCCGTGCCCTTGTCGAACTTGGCCATGCGCTTGTGCTGCTCAAGAACTGGACGCAGATCAGCATTTGTGACCGTGTCTGCGCCCAGAAGTATAAAATTGCCACGTATCAATGCCTTGGCATCCAGATCCCGCATCGCATCGCCAAAGCAACGGCAGCCTTCGCCGCCGATCACATGGACGGTCATCTTGAACGACCACGAGGCATAGGTAGCAATGCCTCGTCTGCAATCAGAAGATATACATAGACAAATGTAAGCAACAAGTTGACTAACGAAACGGGCATACCCCAATTTGAAATGTACACCCTATAGCATGCTTACTTGATGTGCTCGCGAATGCTCTGCAGGTAAAGGCTGGCATAAACAAATACCTCTTCGACGCCGCTGCGATTGAGCGCAATTAGAGCATAATCCAGCATGCTGACATTCACCAGTGGCAGTAGCGCCTGTAGGTATGTATGCAAATAGTAAATATATTAAAGCAACGTGCGTGGCCAAACCCAGTAGGAAAGCATCATTTAAATAAAACTACTAATCGCACCGTGGAGCCTTCGTCCGATAGCGGTTTGAAGTTCCACACATTGTTGTCTGCTATGAGCACAGCCTGGACTATTTCCTTTTGGTATTGTGACATATTTCTGCTTCTTTATGCGTTAAAGAGCCGCAAAACAATTTCTGCGTGCGAAGGTAACGAAATTAATGTTGTGGCTGCTGTTAGCAGCACTGTCAGCTGACAGTGTTGGTCAACAGATAGATGCATTCGCTGGTGATGCAGCCCTGGACTGTGGGACTATGTTCAATTTCAGCTGTTGACGTTGGTTTTATTGCTACTCGAGTCGAATGTTTGTGCGTACCACTATTCGCCGTTGTTGTTTTTGTTGTGTCTGTTGTTATTGTTGCTCTTATATCTATATTCCGATTAAACTCTACAGAAATCGGCCTAAGTGACTTGTGTGTAGTGTCTATATAAATTAAATGCAATAAATAATGAATTGCTGCAATTCAAAACAGCACCAAAGGCAGAATTACAATTATCGTCATCGCCAATAGCCGTTCATTCTACGCGTCGGTGAATAAGTGACGGCGATTGCCTCTGTGTGTGTGTTTTGCTAGAAAAAAAAAGAAATAATAAAATAAAAATACTATACCCGCCCACACCCACCGTCCTAAAATAGTAAAAAACAAACAAGATTTATAGCTCAGGAAAGCAAATAAGAAATGCTTTCTAAGAAAGAAAACTATCCATGAATGTTTCCTTGTGTTGATTTCGGTATTAGCATTAAGCAGACAAAAATAAAAACTAAAAAACTAAGACCTGAAACTGGTGTCGTCACTCGGCGCTTGTGTTAACTAAAAATAGACACTCCAAAAGAAACCCACAAGTTTGTCAGTATAACTAACCCCTTAACATCGTGACTAGGGTCCATTCTGCATTCAACATTCCCGTGCTGTAGCCGTTTGGTACGTAATAATAACAAAAACAAATACTAGATACCAAATAAAAAGAAGCTGAAAAGCCGCTAAAAAAAAAGGCCAACCGAATATATAAAAGCCGCCTAGCGATGGAACGCGGGAGCAACTACCCCAATGGCGGTGATGCAAGCGCAGCTGCAGTGCCAGTGAAAACAACGCTATCAATTGTGCAGGAGCGATTTAAAGCGGACGAAACAGTTCACCTGGTAAGCTAACTTGTTCCCATCATAAATAATCGATTGCTTGTTCTCCCATTTGTGTTGCAACACCATGTTCCCGGCTGGGTGTGTGCGTGTGTAAATGAACCTTGAGGACATAAGATAACGTATCACCATTGACCAGTGGTCAGTGATATCACTTAAACTTGACAATGAGCTGGGACTTTCATCAGTAGTGACTTTCTTGGAACATCGCTAGACATTCAACAGTTATCCATTTAGTACACACTGAGTGGAGTCCGATTGGAATGCTAATTGGCTATTGTGAACAGCGTCCGATTTCAAGCATAAAACCGAGCAGGCGTTATTCGTCTGATAAGAACGTTATTTGAGGCTCGCAATGAGGTGGAAATTTGATGGATACGTTGCTCAAGTCGCAACGCTGTTATTTATTAAAATGGACACCTCATAGCCAAGCCAAGCCAAGTACGCAGCTCAGAACTCGAACAGAGCAGAGTATTTAATTTGTGCCAATTTAATTTCCAATTGGACTTTTTAAAATCGAATTAGCTTTGACAATCCTTATCTTTAGTTATCGATTAAGATTTTACAAAAGATTTCAAACCAAAGTCAATTGACGAAAAGTAAAGAGACTGAAAAATTGTATATTATGCTTCGAATATATTTGTTGATAGATTTTCGAAGCATATCAAATCAAGGGCCAGGAACATATTGAGGGCCTGCTAGCGCTTGTCTCCTCCGCATCAGGCGGAACATACGCGATCATCTCGTTCTCTCTGCTCCGCAATCCACTGACGGCGAGCAATGACCTGAAAATAAACAAAGTGTTTCCGATAAATGCATCCTTTAAATTGACAACGGGTAGGTGTTAACTATCAATCTATCTCTCTCTCTCACTCTATTTCCTTTCCTATCTCTCCACAACCTCCTGCCACCTATTATTCATCTGTGATCAGTATATATTTAATATGTTGTAAGCTTTACAGATAGCAAGGCGCCCAAAACGGAGCAATTCGATCTGTGCACGGACGATGATCGACCAACCAAGTATTACTATTATTCAATGCGAACCGATCCCGCCGCGGTCGATTTCAATGAATTCTGTGCCAAAGTCAACTCCTGCAAGAAGACCATGTGGGATGCCGAATTGCCGTCGGAGGCGGCGCTAAATTTTCGATGGCTTGACGATTACCGTGAGATAGGCGAGGTGAAGCATGAGCTAAAGAAGCGCGAAAGCGAATATATTATCTACAAGGATATTATGTATGAATAGCTTCGTCTATATTCGTTGTGACATGAGTTCTTTAATTTAATGCCATCATCCTTTGCAGCGTCTACTGTGCCACATGGAACGTAAATAACAAACCCTGCTGGGATAACAAAAATACGCTTCGTCCTTGGCTTGCATCTGGCAAAAAGGCGCCGGACATCTATGCCATTGGACTGCAGGAGCTGGAGAACACGGCCAGGGCCATGCTCAACGGCAATCAAATGCAAATGTTTGCCACGCAATGGGTGTAAGTGATTTAACTACAACCATTGGTATTACTATATTGCCGAAAGCACATTCATTTAGATTCACGCATAACTGTAAAAGCGAAATCTTCACCTGAAACACTATTCAAACTAAGCTTAAAGAACAAATACGAACAATCGATTATTATCGATTTAAACAAAATAGGCTGAGCTAGCGAAAAAAATATGATAAATTGCTAGTGCGCACGAAATGCACGAGTAAAGATCTCAAATTTCAAGTCTTTCGCCTCTGTGGCTTACAAGATCTCGGCATTCCATGGCTACAAGCAAATATACATTTAATGGGACTCGCCCTGCCTTCACAAGGCCATTTTGCCCTGATGGGCATATAATCAGCAGTAAAAGTCAAGTTAAAATATATTTATTTTGTGGCACAGTTGCAGCAAATAATCGTTTGTTTAAAGAATTACGAAGTCTTATTTATCATTATTATTACAGCTGTTGGTCTGATTAGCTTATCAAGAAGCAGAAAGTTATTAATATGCTGAATGCGAATCTTCAATTTGAATAGAAAATACTTAAAGATATATATATCAAGCTCTATAAATCTTATAAAGGGTTTTATTTCAAGTTGGTAAACAAATGATATGGGGTCTGTGCATATAACCATACATACATATATTTGAAATTACTATCTATTGTATCTATCTCTCTCTTTCGTCGCAGGCGAAAAATGTTGGAGAACCTGCATGATGATATGGAGTATGAGGAGTTGCAATCGGTGCGATTATCTGGCATTATGTTAACAATATTTGTTCGTAAAAATTTACGTCAACATATCGTGCGGTGCCGCGTGAACTCGGTGGCCCGTGGCGTGTTCAACACGTTGGGTAATAAGGGGGGCGTGGCTGTTAGCTTTCAGCTCAACGAGGCGAGCATCTGTTTTGTGAACTCCCATCTGGCCGCGCACATGGGCAACGTGGCGGAGCGGAATGACGACTACAAAGCCATTGACGATTACATGCGATTCGAGGAGAACGGACTGCAGGTCCGCACTATCAACGATCACGAGTAAATGCAACAAGCAACAGTGCAATAAACAGATAACTAATCTATCTCTCTCTCTCTCTCTTTCTCTCTGATTTTGTCTGTACGTTGTCTTTCGCTCACTGTAGTCACATTTTCTGGTTGGGTGATCTCAACTATCGGATACAGGAGCCAAATGGACAGCAGCGGCCGGGCCCCATGAGCGATGCGCAAACTTTTGAGCTGATGCTGCAGTACGATCAGCTGCGCACAGAGATGAGCTACGAGCGATGCTTTAAGGGCTACACGGAGGGAGAGATTAAGTTTGCGCCCACCTACAAATACGACGTGGGCACCGACACCTATGACACGGGCGAGAAACAGCGCGCGCCAGCGTATTGCGATCGCGTCTTGTGGAAGGGCAAGCTCATCGAACAGTTGGAATACAATGGCGTCATGGAGATACGAGAAAGCGACCATAAGCCGGTCTATGCCATATTCCGTGTGAAGATCAAGACACGCGACGATGACAAGTACAGGAAGGTCTTGGCCGAGGTGCTCAAGGCGGTGGACAAACGCGAGAACGACAGTCAGCCGCAGATAACCACAGACCGATTGAACATTGAGTTTGGTGTGGTGCGGTTCAACGAGCCGGCCATACGGGACTTCAATGTGTCCAACGATTGCCCGCAAAATGTGGACTTCGAGTTCAAGGTCAAGGACTCGCACAACGATATCTGCGAGAAGTGGCTGCATGTGGACCCGCGTGGAGACAGTCTAATGATTGACTCCGCCCGCAGCATACGCGTGCGCGCTTTAGTCGATGCGAATTCCGTGACGGGTCTGCTCAAAATGATATGCACCGCCGTCGATAAATGCGTACTAGATATACTTATACTTCATGTGCGATCCGGCCGAGATATATTCATAACCGTAACGGGTGAATATCAGCCCAGCTGCTTTGGCCTGTCGATGGAGACGCTGTGCCGTACCGAGCGACCGATCGGTGAATACACGCTGGACGAAGTCAAACAACTGGTAATATATACGAACCTATACATATATATAGGACATATACACATTCTATATTCACCGTTGTAGATGCTGGATGTGACGCCCGGGTATCGCGTGCCAATGCCCCGCGAATATTTCCTGCTCATCGATTACTTGCACAACCAAAGAGGCCAACTCTTTCAGAGCTACGATCGCCGCCAGCCGCTCAGCAGTCAATTTAATGCAGTGCGCGATTGGCTGGACTCCTGGTCGAACGATCCATTTCGTAAGCTCAAATTAAATCAGCATTGATACCTCTGTAAATGTATTAACTATTGTTTCCTTCCATTTACAGCGGGCACCCCACAGACGGCTGCCGAGGCGCTGTTGCTGCTGCTCGATCTGCCGGAGCAGGCGCTGCTGGAGCCGTTTGTGGACGATCTGCTGGCCAGCCGCAGCAAAGTGGATGCTGAGAGGTACATAGACCTGCTAAGCGATCCCAAGCGCAACGTCTTCAAGCATCTGTGTCTGTTTCTCTGCGATGGTGTTGAGCGCGGCGATTACGACGCCAACAATGTCGGTGCGTATCGATGATAATGTGCTTATAAATATACGTACATATACATACATATATATATATGACGTATGTATTTATCAGTTGTATTAACTCGAATTGCTTATCTTGATGATTGCAGCCACGATCTTTGGACGTATTCTGTTGCGCAGCAGCAAGTGCAACGTGACCATTGATTATCATAGCCGATGCAACGAGTTCATGCAACGCTTCATACGCATCGAGAGTCCCGATACATTATCTGGTGGCAATGGACATGGCGGTGCCAGCTTGCAGACCTAATTGACGAATTCAATTCAATGTATATACATCTATATACATATATACATATAGATATATGCATATATACGTCTATGTATTAGCCACAGATATGGAATGTAAATTAGTTAGCTATTTATTTTAACTGTAATTCGAAAATGTATTCGCTTACGAGTAGTTCTCAATGGCTTAGCATTTACGCACTATATTATATATATAGTTGATCTGCTCTTTGTTTTACTTGTTACTTGTTTACTGCACATACTATGTGAACTATTGAGTGAGAACTCAAGTATCCATACATATACCCCTAATTATATATTAATACATATTGCGCTTGTAGCCTATGTTGGCCCAGAAAAATATTAGCCTTACGGAAAACTGTAACGAACGTTTATGCACTGATTTTTTTATACACATTTTCCACTCCAACCACAAACAACACATGGCTTAAACTTAACAAATACACATTTATACATATTTACATACATACACACACTAAAATATATGCATTTTGTTCTTTCCAACGAATATTTAGTTAACACAAATACATATATTCAAAATAGAAGTAAGCCCATACTTATGGCAGTTTAACTAACAAGTCAATGCCAGATCGAAATTTGATTGTTTATTAAATTGATTTACAAGATTATTAAACATTTAAAATGCATACGTACATATATAATATGATTATACAGTAATTTAAAGATTTATTTTAAAAATGTTGGCCCAAAGCCACATATCAGCTTTCATTATTAAACCCGGATTTTAAAAAATTATCTTTCTAACATTCTATATCAGTTTGAGTTTTTGATTATGTGATAAGTATTAAATTAATTTAAGCACATTGTTTCGTAATTATGTTTAAATATGTGTAGCCGTTGTACAACATGGTTTCTAAAAAGATTACTGCTGTTATTTCTGTTAAAATAAATAAATGTTTACCGCTAACTTTAATCAGACGTATATTTTTCTTTGTCAGTGTACATACATTCAGAAGAATCTAGATTCAAACATGTGCTGCTATGCGCATGGGCTTGTGTGGAAATTTGCGCCAAATTATGTTTGGCGTTGCGCAACACTATTTTTGGTTTTGGCATGAAGAATGCACACTACGTTCTGTTTCCTATATTTTAATCATTTACAAGTTGCAAATTAATATATATTTATATGTTTATATTTATGTCTAAACATAATTATCATAATTATGATGAAATATTCAAATTTATAGCTGACAATGCATAATGTTATCGATGTCTTGCAATGTGTATCGATGTAGAGGTACAGTTCCATCGCTATAACTTCTTGTTGTTAGTGTTATTTTTGCGTAGCAAAACAAATAGGAATATTTTGCATTTGAGCTGCTGGATATATACGCGGCAAAAACTATAAGCAAATAAAATGTCCGACGAAGACTTTAAGAGACCAATATATACAGGGGAAATGGTCGAAGAGCAAAGAACTTATGCAATGGACGACAGACGGCCGTCCACGCCGGTAGAAGATGCGGAAGCCGAGCTTAAAGAGAATCTAAACATCAGTGGCTCCACGGATCCTTCAGACCCAGATGACAGCGAGACATCCCGATCGCATAACACTAGTAGCACACCAGAGCCCGACAGTACAGCAGAGCCAACAGATCTGGACACATCTATAACGTCCCAAACGTCCCTAGACGAAGAGCACATTGAAGAGCCAGTCATGGGCGAACAGCAGAGCTCAAGAGAGGAGAGCAGCAGCTCTAGTAGCTCCAGCAGCAGTAGTCCGAGTGATTCAAACACATCACAATCAGAGGGTAGCGATGATACCACTGAAGACGAACCCTCACCCACAACAGTGGTCGATGTCAGCGATTTAACCGGCAACGACGATTTCAGCAATTGTGGCACAACTGAGAATGAGGAAAATGTTACAGAAACTGTTCCGGCACCAGTTGATCCACCTGTAGACTCAGGAATTGAACCAATTTCACCAGTGTCAGAGGAGACTGAGGTTGAGACGCAAGCGGAAATTCAAACTCCAGCTCAAGTGGAAGAGATTCCAGCGGAAGAGGCCATGGTGATTGAAACACCACCGGAACCAGAACCAGGACCTGAACCGGAACCTGAACTACCGCCGCAACAGGAACAACCACAGGAATCACAGGTTGTAGAGGAGCAAAATATGGAAATGGAAACTGAAGGACCATCTTCACCGACTTCACCAGCATCACCAACATCCCCAACATCACCAACTGAAATGCCCGAAACCCCAGCGTCGCCCACTGACGATTGCGATGAGGGCATTGATCTGCTCCCGCCCTATAAGCGCGCGCACTATGGAGTCGATCAGCCGATCCGATGCCAACAGTCACAGGAGCATCATGTCGACTTGAGTATGCCCATTCCACAACAACAACTTCACATGCAGCAGATGCGCTTGGCGCCGCGTGATCCTCGTCAGAAACCGTTTTTACTACAAGCTCAATTTGAAGCCATATCGAGCAGCAGCGACGAGGCGAACAGTGGTGGCGACGGTGAGGAGGAGGATGAGGAAGACGACGAGTCTGATGATAATTCAGAGGAATGTGACACTGAGTCCAATGACTCGGACGTGATGATAATAGAGCAGGATACGGACACAACATCTGGAGAGACGGCTACCGCAACAGAGGCAACCGATGCAGATGCCGATGCTGATGGTGACGAGGATGATGATGAGGATGATGATGATGATGAGGAGCAGGAGGAGGAGGAGGATAATGACGATGATGATGATGGCGGCGAGCGTGATGCCAATACTGGTGGTGACCAATTATTGCTGAACAAAATCGACATAGCCGACAATCCAGAGAAGATCTACTACATACGCCGCGCTGATGGCACCGTCCACGCCGGCCAAGTGCTGCAGTCGCGCGTCACCGACAACTGCGTCAGCCCGAACGAGTATTATGTACACTATGTGGGACTGAACCGGAGACTCGACGAGTGGGTGGGCCGCCATCGCATCTCTGATAATCCTGATGATTTGGGCGGTATCACGGTCACGCCCGAGCCACTGAACTGCGATCAGCCGAGCACCAGCGCCAATGCCATTGCGATGGCCAACGCAACGAACCAGCAGGGCGCAAGCGTGGTGCGTCCCAAGCGACAAGCCCCCAAGGACTACTATCTGTCGGCATGTGAGAACAATCGATACGACTACAGCGACCGCAAGATGACGCGCTATCAGAAGCGACGCTACGACGAGATCAACCATGTCCAGAAGAGCCACGCTGAGTTGACAGCCTCGCAGGCGGCGCTAGAGAAGGAGCACGAGTTCATCACCAAGATCAAGTATATCGACAAGCTCCAGTTCGGCAACTATGAGATAGACACCTGGTACTTCAGTCCCTATCCGGGTGAATATGGGAAGGCGCGGGTGCTGTACGTCTGCGAGTATTGCCTGAAGTATATGCGGCTCGAGAAGAGCTACCGATACCACTTGTACACGTGCCAGGTGCGCAGGCCACCGGGCAGGGAAATCTATCGCAAGAACACCATCTCCATATTCGAGGTGAATGGCAAGGAGCAGCCGCTCTACTGCCAGCTGCTCTGCTTAATGGCCAAACTGTTCCTTGACCATAAGGTACTCTACTTCGACATGGATCCATTCTATTTCTATGTGCTTTGCGAGACGGACAAGCGGGGCTGTCACATTGTGGGCTACTTCTCCAAGGAGAAGAAGTCGATGGACAACAATAACGTGGCCTGCATCTTGGTGCTGCCGCCGCACCAGCGCAAGGGCTATGGTAAGCTGCTGATTGCCTTCAGCTACGAGCTGTCCCGCAAGGAGGGCGTCATTGGCAGCCCGGAGAAGCCGCTGTCGGATCTGGGCAGGCTCAGTTATCGCAGCTATTGGGCCTACACACTGCTCGAATTGATGAAGGGCCGCTGCTCAGCGGAGCAGACGACCATCAAAGAGCTGAGCGAGGCGAGCGGCATTACGCATGACGACATCATCTATACTCTGCAATCCATGAAGATGATCAAATACTGGAAGGGGCAGAACGTGATCTGTGTGACCGCAAAAACAATCAACGATCACCTGCAGCTGCCGCAGTTTAAACGGCCAAAGCTTACCATTGACTTGAATTGCCTCAGTTGGAAGCCACATCCGCAGCCGCCACCGTTTGGAGAATCCTGGCGTAACGTCCGGCTCCAATGAGATTCGGACAAATAAGTTTCTATTTATAATTTACAAAGATAATTTTTTTTTCAGCCTCAGCTAAATATCGAGCAAGCGAACCCAATACGGTTATGATAAAAACACAATTTTAGACAATTTAACTATTAAGATATATATATATATATAATTTTTTTTTTTTTACGTAATTTTGATTACTAATTGATGTTGAAAAGTGAGAAAAATAACTTCTAATAGAAGGCACATTTGAGTTATATTGAAACGATACAGACGTAATACGGAAGGCATGCTTATATCATTAATATGTATATCTCGATATACATATGTATGTATAATTAAAAAGCCAAGAAGTAAACTAGTGTTTTAAATATATTTTTGTTGTCAAAGTTTCCAGCTACATACACTATCGTAATTGGTTAATTGTACACCCAGCGACAAAAAAAAAAAAGTTTAAAGAATGAAAAAATCATCTGAATTTCAACAAATGCAATTTAATTTTTTTTTTTTTTTTTTAAATAAACATCCATTTTGCATTTAATTGAAAAAACTTAAGTTTTATATGTCTTTTATTCAATAAAAATAGTTTATTAAAAAGAAATTTTGAAAACATTAAACCCATCTCTTTGAGCCAACCATTGCTGCGATTCTGATGCATTTTCTAAAGTTTTGAAGCGATCCTCGATCTAAAAACAGCACGATTCTCCCATTAATTTGTGTATTTTTTCCTTCCCTATCCCTTCTTTCTTCCCAATTTGTCCATCTAACGATATTTTTTCAAAAAGCGTTTAACTGAATTTACATTGAAATTAGTTTTTAGCGCTATTTTACGATTTGATATATTTTGTTCAGCTAATGTGATAATTTTAGGTTTTTCAGTACGGGTCTCCTGAAAAAAATTGCGTAGCGCCACGAATAGAATAAGCCGAAGTCGCAATTACCTTAACGTGCTGCTTTTTCCTTTTTGTGTCGCTGTGGCTATGTATTAACATTTGAATTTTCTAGAAGACCTTGACCGTCGAGCTGAATCACAATAAAGGAGCGATTGTAGACATGTATCGATATATTTGATGCGCTTATCGTTCAAGGCGACATTCGCTGATACTTGGAAAATTAAATACTTGGTTACCAGTATCATCGATATATCATTTCACGAGAAAAAAATATAGGTTTCGATTCTCAAGTCAATGTATTCACAAATACATATACTCGATATCTAGTAGTTGTTTGTCAAAAGTCTATCTCTAGAGCTCGGTCACTCTGACAACCGGAGAAAAATTTAGTTTCAGCATTTTGTGTGAGACGCATTTTACATACATATAAATATATATATATCTGTAATTGTGTAGAAAGAATTTACGAGAAAATTAACGAAATTTGAAAAAATGGCTGCGCCAATGCAACATGAAGATTTGCTTAAGCTGAAAGGCTTTATTGATTTTGTCAATGCAAATCCTACTGTATTGAATATGCCTCAATTGCAATTTGTAAAAGATTTTGTGGAGAAGTTCGGCGGTAAGGTGCCTGAGGGCGATTTCAAGATGCCGGACGCTGGGTAAGTTTGTGTTTTTATGTGTGTGTGCGTGCGCGTAGTAGCTGGATAATCAGAATCCTTGCAATTTTTTCTTATATTTCATTCTCTGCTTGTTTAGCAAATGCCCTTTCGGTGGCGATACCGGCCCCAAAGCAAAGCCGGCTTTCACGGCTGCGGACGATTCAGACAAAAGTGATGAAGACGCAAGCGTTTCGGAGCCAGAGTCCGATGTCGAATTAGATATGGAGGGTAAGTCTACTAAAAAGCAGTGCCGTGCCGTAAAAGAAGAATAAAAAATCACGTGTCCCCATCGCTGAACTTCCCAACCTCAATTTGAATTTTGTCTGTAGGTGTTATTGAAGCCGACAACGAACCAGCTCAGCCAATGGGTGATTCAGAAAAAGTGCCCACTGAGGAGGAAATCGATCAGGCCAGCGAATTGCGTGGTCAGGCCGCTGCTGCTTACAGCCAACAGAAATTCGACGAGGCCATCAATCACTATACTAAGGCCATTGAGTTGAATCCGGGCAATGCCTTATTCTATGCCAAGCGCGGCCAGGCCTTCTTGAAGCTTAAAAAGCCGAATGCATGCATTCGCGACTGCGACAAGGCTTTGGAATTGAACTGCGACTCGGCTGCTGCCTACAAGTTCCGTGGACGCGCCAATCGTCTGCTTGGAAAGTTTGAGGAGGCCGCCAAGGATTTGCGTCAGGCTTGCAAGCTGGACTTTGATGAGGAGGCCGACGAGTGGTTGCGCGAGGTGACACCAAATGCCAAGAAAATCGAGCAGCATCGCATCAAGCAAGAGCGCAAGCAGGCTGAGCGCAAGATTAAAGAGCGTCAGCGTGCTCAAAACAAGGCTCGCAAGGAGCAGGCCAAGCAAAGCAGTGCAGGAGCTGGCTTTCCGGGAGCCGGTGGCTTTCCAGGTGCTGGCGGTTTTCCAGGCGCTGGTGGCTTCCCAGGCGCTGGTGGCTTCCCAGGCGCTGGCGGCATGCCCGCCGGCTTTGATATGGACGACTTGATGTCAAAAATGAAGGACCCAGAAGTGGCAGCTGCCATGCAAGACATACTGGCCAATCCGGCTAATATTTCCAAATACGTGTCTAATCCGAAAATCTTCAACTTAATGAAGAACTTTTTCCCGCGCGGCTTCCCTGGCGCCGGCGCCGGTTTCCCAGCTGGCAATGCTGATGCCGACAATTCCGCCTCGGAGGCTAAGCGCTCCAACAACAGTGAACCAAAGCCCAAAAAGGAATCACCTGACTTCGTGGACGATGGGCTCGATTAAAGATTACTTAGTTGGCAATAACGCAGCAGCAGCAATTAATTAATACAAACAAAATTACCAAAAAGCAAGCGAATTGAAAAAGAAAACAAATAACACACACTGACACACACGCATACTTATGAGTTAGAGCGAGATAACAACACGCGCTGTTAGGTAGCGATAGGAAGAAGTCTAGAATATTTAATCTTTACCTTAATAATTAATACAGTTTAGACACCTAAGCGTTGCTGCTGCTGCATCAAAAAAGAAGAGAAAGAAAACGAGCAAGAAGAGAAAATGTTTCCTTATAACTTTAACATAAATTTATCGATGATATCTAGTTGAACTAAAGCTCGATAAGAGAAAAAACAACACAAGAAAAATAAATGAACACATTTAAATTAACAGCAACAATATAAACACATACGCAAAGACACACACATACACACACACAAACATGTACACATAATCGAAGCATACACATTAAAAAATTAGCCTTAATTCTAACCCAATGCTGAAGATGATAAAACGAAATACAGTTAGATATATACATATATATATATACTTATATGTATTTATATATACACAAACAGCTGAAATACGAAAAACGAAAAATTATAAATTGTACTGATCGCAGGATTTGAATTCTATATATTGTTATAAACAAATGCATTTAGCAGTCATCACACACACACACACATTCACACACCCCCTCGCGCGTTTTTACTAAGGCCAAATTCCAATCGATATTAAGATGCGCCTTCGCATTGTTCTTGGCCAATATATTGTCAAACATCATTAAATCATTCATTGAGCCGCACACATTTCATACACCACCCAAATCGAAATCATTGATGAAAATAAATTAATGAGAATTGGAACTGCAATCGACTCGTGTTTTCTCCATTTAAAAAGCTTTATGACGGAAAATTCTGTATGTATATTGCCTGTTTGTCTTAAAATTGCAATTAAGGTATTCATAACCCGAAGGTGAAATGTTAATGCAACTGTTGTATTATTAATTGAGTTTAATATTTTTTGAGGGAATGCCGTTACTGCAACGACTCGCTTAGAATGGGACGTTTTTTTGGATATACTGCACTACACTTGCAAAAAATATATTTTGTTAACGATAGTTAAGATTGGTGTGTACGCATATATATGTATAAATATATACATAGATCCCATAAGCGTATATATAAAGTATATAATTTAGCTTTACTGTGCGTGGTTGCGTGTTAACGAAACTGATGAAACAGCACATCTCCTTAAAAAATTATTGAAAAGTCGTAGCAGCAACATTGTGGTCTTTTTAGTTATTTTCAGAGATTAAATAATTTGAACATTCATTACGAATATATAAAATATCAGCAAATATCGTAGCAAACCCGTATAAATGAGTTCTTTTCATAAAATTATTAATTTGCACATACATTACGAATATATAAAATATCAGCAGTTAAATGAAATCTCCTGATAATTGATAATTCGAGATTTTATTTATTCTCTCCAATATTGTAAGGGTCCCTCGAGTTGCAAATTAACGTGAGTCGACTGTATGTATGATAATTGTTTATAAAAAAACATGAGGCTATTTGCAACAGCCTTGACGCCCCGAAGTATGCAATGGACAAACTATTCTTGCTACATACATACATATGTATACATTTTTGGAGCATGAATGCAATAAGTTCGTTGATGATGATATTGCTGTACTTGTTGTTGGCATTATTCAAATTTAGGAAACGCCCTGCAACACGATTTGCATTATAATTAAATATGAGCCGAAGGCAATATGAGTGACTGTATTATGTATTATTAATATTATGGCTATGTACTTGATAACAATGAGTCGCACTGATAACTGCAAATATGAAAGTGTTTTTCAAGTACCCTGTATGAATGCGATATGAAAAGGTGAACAAACTTTCTGTTTTGCGAAAGCTCTACCTGAAACAAAGTGAGTTTTGAAAAATAAATATTTAAATGGATTGCTTAACTTTACAATATTCATGTGAAAACCTTATTTTGAAATAAAAAAAAATTGCATTCAAATATTTACATATGTACATTAATGATTAAAAATCATGTAAATAATGAACGATTTTTCGATTCAGCTAATTTACGTGGAACGGCCTAGTCCAGCATTTTCTGTTTAAATATATTCGCGTTTTCCTTGAGACTGTCGCAGCAACAGTAGCAACAGCGCAGTTAACCCAAACAGTATCCACACACACACACATGGTCACACATGCATTTTATTTTTTATTGCATTACTCATAGTCACCCCATTCTCCTAGAGCGCGCACACTCTCACTCTCTTTTTCACTCTCTCTCTCTCACTCTAACAGGTGACTCACAAGAACTGATAGCCTCGCAGTGCAATAGCAGCAGTCGACACTCTCGCCGCGTTTACTCATTAGATAAATTGTAAGACGAAGAGCAATTAACCGTTACAATGGCCAATTCTGTTGTTGGGCTCCAACAAAATGCACTAACAATAAGAATAACAATACCCATAAAAGCGCGCGACATTGATGCGAAGTTATTTTTTGTTTGTTGCTTATCGTAGATTCATGACGTCATGGTCGTCATCGTTTCGCTGACTGGTTCTCAAGTGAATGAGTCGCGCTACCACTCAACAACAACAGCAACAACAATAAAACCACCAACAACCACAGCAACTTGTTGTGCTTTGCAGTAGATGTTTTTGCTTATTCGCTTCTTGTTTTTGTACATTGGCACTGCGGGCGTGTACGTTGACGCCGCTGCCCTCGGCGCAGCCAAGCTGTCATCCGGCCAGCCGGCCAGACGGCGAGCCAGCCAGCTGGCAGAAGCAAAAGGCGTAAACGAAATTGAAAATACTTTTGTAGTTTCAGTTTCGTTTTTAACGTACGCGCGCCAAGACGCAAAAGCAACAGCTCGAAAACCAAACGCATTGCCCAATACGAATTCTCAATACAAAACACAAGTGTGACCAGCGTCTGCGAATTCAATTCGTGTATCCAAAAAGTAAGCGATCGTATCGAAATTTTATGCGTAAATCAGGCAGGCACGCACGCTCACATTTGTATATGTGTGCAAGTGTGCGTGTGAGCGCATATTAAGAATTCAAAATTTACACGTTTTACTAGCTTCAACTTTGTGTGTGCGTGGAAGAAATGTGGACATTTTTTTGTTTTTTTGTTTTTAAATAAAACAATACAAAATTGGCGAGCTATCAGGTCCAGGGCGTGGCATATCATCATTCACATAAAAAAGCGACAGCAAATTCGCAAGGAACGTGCTCACTGAGTGGGTCAATAATAATGAGCTCCATTAGCGATGATCTCATTGCGGGACACTCGCAAAATGCAGCGGCTGCGCAAGCAAACAAACGGCAGGCAGGCGGCATAAATGCAACAACTAAATAACTGATTGCTTCAATTACCGTTATCAGAACTCAGATTGGGTGCCTTTGATGTTGCTGCCGCTGTTGCTTGTTTGCGGTTCTCTTAACAGCGAATTTACATGTTATATGCGCAGGAAATTGTCAACTTGTTTTAAGATTTTGACTATTTTTTGATATTATTCAAAGCACATTTCTGATATATAAACATGGTTTGAGCATGATATCATTTTCAAAAAAAAAAAAATACCGGCGCCTGTTGCTACCTATGGATATGGTTTTTTTTATTGTTGACGATATATGAAAAAAAAAAACGTGAAAAAACAACAAGCCCATATATTTGTGTATATGTATATACATACATATATATGGCATATGCATAACAACATATTTAAAATGTAGACCCTCGAGAGCGTAACGGAAATCCGCTCACTAATCAACATAAAATGTGGTTCGGTTTGTTTTGATTGCCTGTTTCTTCAGCTTCTTCATTTGATTGATGTTGTTGTTGTAGTTTCGAAGAGGGCAGGGCTCGAATTCGCATTGGAAACTTGAATCTTGTATTATTTGTTTTGTAATTTGTTACGTCATCGCATTGGACGAGCGAGGGTAAATGCTGTAGAGGATGGCGTCATTGTTTTTGTTTTTGAGTTTTTTTTTTTTTTTTTGCGTTGGGAGCGTCTGACTAATGTCATAAAGACCTTGATGCCACAGACGAGGCATTCCATACATACATAAGTAATGAGCAATGAAAAGTGTAATTAGATAGATTAGTGGAAATGGTAAATAAAACTTGTTTAGGCAGATGTTCGAATCTGCAATCTGAAGATCTACTAATGTAATGTAATGTCCATATGTCTTACAGTATGCAATTGTTATACTGAGATTATAAGAATGTACATACATACATATGTATATATACATACATATAGACATGCCGATCTTTGAGCAATCGCATATTGCTTCCACTCGCTCAACACTTGCCATTTGGGCAGACACACACACACACACTCACACACACTCATTTACGCGCGCCCCCATTTCAAAAAATGTATAGACAAAAATCATGTACACACACACACACACATCTGTGAACCTATGACTATATGTATGAGTATAGCGTATGTATGTGCGTATATTTTAACAAAATTTTCAATTTTCCATCGAAATATTTAGCTGAAACACAAAAGGCAGCAGCAGCAGCAGCCATAAATCCCATGACGTCACTGTACGGCTATAAAAGACGAACACTGATACATAATGAGCGAGAGGTGTGGGTGTGTGAGAGAGAGAGGGGCATATACTATGTATGTAGGCATGACAGTAAATAGATTTTCATGTTTCTCCTGCGCTTTTCTCAATAACATTTGGCGCGCTCAGCGAGGCCGAAAATTCGAATATGTTTAATTTTAGAATTAAATAATAACAAATTATTTTGGCCAAAAATACTACAGTGCGATTGGGCATGGCCAGGGGGGCGTGGCTAGGGCAGCAGCAGCAACAGCAGATCTGTAACAACTGCAAAAACATTGGAATTCAACTAACAAGCCACATGAACCATTATTCACTTACTTAAATATGGTATTTTATACAGCCGGACAATATTCGAAGTCAAATCTTGATCGGGCTTTCAATATTTTCAATTGGCAACTTTCAAAGAATATGAAGAGAATAAAATTTACGCTTTATATATGTAGACATGAATATTTGTATAGATTAATAGGTCCTATAAGCTTTTCTGTATACATACATATGCATGTATATGTATATATACTATATATATTAATACTGAGGGAATCTACAGATCTACATATATACTATAAATAACAGTTCTCAATATTCAATTTTTTATCGTATATTTAAATAAATAGTTATTTTTCTTTAAGAAATCGTATTAATACTTTTTCTATCTGCATGACAGAACTTTTAATTTTCAATATGCTTATATATTTATACATATATTTGCATATTTTAAGTTAGGTCGGGAAGTATTATAGCTTTTCCCAAGACGACCAAGAGAGTTCTGGAAAACCCTATATTTCTTATTAAAAATTTTATTAAAAAAAAATAAATAAAGATTTCGAACTACGATTAGACCTTAACCGCATGTAAATTCTTTTATGAATCTTTTGAATGATCAATTTAGAGTACTTAAATAAATACTATGAATGTATTTAATTTTGTGAGATGAATGTTTCATATTTATTAATTATACTATGAAAGCTATTCGTGTCTATTGGCTTAAATAATTCCATTGAAAGCTGCTAATTGGACAATTTGTCTCCTTTCTTTCAGACCCAAGAAACACCCACCTTAACCAGCCACCGCCTAAGTAACCACCGCCAAGATGTCTCACTCCGTGACCATAACCCGCACCACCACCAGCACCACCAACACCTCCTACATTGTGCTAAACACTGGCTACCTTAAGACCTTTCCGGGTATTTTGAAGCTCTTCCAGTTGGTAATTAAATTGTTGCATATTTGTGTTGGTCCACCTTAATTAGTCAATTTCTATGTGGTGCATAGCTCATTGGCGTTGCTGTGGTCACCCTGATGGCGATGCACTACAGTGATAGTGTCTACTACCGCCAGCAGCAATATCTGTTCCACTACCTGATGGCCACCACATTTATGATAGGGACATTTTGTTTATTCCTAGCGTGCCTCACATCGCTGAGCACGGGCGGACTCATCGCCAAGACGATCTACGTGAGTGAACAAAATATTAGCTCGAATTGCGATTGCAAATGTAATTTAATCAATCTTAATTGGGCTATTCGATTTATAGGAGCTGATCTATCACTCTGTTGCCGCCATACTATTGCTCGTCTCGTCGGCCTGCCTGCTGATTAAGGTGCGCGATAACAGGCACGATGCCTACATGGCGGCCGGTGTTCTGGGCCTGGTCAATACGGTGCTCTACTTCATAAGCGCATTCCTGGCACATCGCTCGTATCGCGGCATTTAAGCGGAAAACTCAATCGCTGGCATTTTGCGAGATCTAACATAAATAGTTCATCAGAAACAGAAACAGAAACAGAATTAGAATCAGAAATGAATATAGCTATGCTATAGTCAATTGCAGCACAAGCCATACAAAGGAGTCTCTCTGTTCTACTGTATAATTGTAAAAATCTTAATTTGTGGCGCTATTGAGTAATGCATCATATTACCTGCATACAAACATCTATATATACACATGTATATATAAATATTAATTTTATGTTGTCGTTTTTCTTTTGATTGTTTTCATTATTGTTTTTATTTCATTTGTGCTACACTCTTATCTCAGTGTCTGTCTTTTATACCAAACAGCATATATTGTATTCGAATAAACGTGTCTTTATGTTTTTATACAAAATGTGTTTGATTCAAAAAATCAAAGTGATCCCATCCGATATTTTTAGTCCTGCTGTAGTAAGCAAAGGAAATAAATATCGAGCATGTAACGAACTTAAATCGATTCTCGCATGTAAATCGAAATCGAATATGCGCTAATTAAATACTAATATACTTTTGATATTTGTATGAAAATAAAATGTTCATATATCAATCATTTAATAACGCAAAACAATATATTTAATTATATTTTCTAAATGAACCAAAATTTGGTTCACGGATAACAAATTTAAAGTTGTTAGGAACAAAGTATTTTTGCTTGTGCAGCCCTGGCTTTCAAACTTTAACGACTTTCGTGATCACAACAAAGTTCAGACTAATGAACATAATAAAATAAAAATAATTAATAACATAAATCACCAATGCTTGAAAAATTGAATAAGTATATGTATATGTATTGTATGTATATATATTCAAATTTGTAGTTTTAGCCTTCAAAAGGCGTGACTGTCCAATTGGAAATAATATTGACAGGAATGGATCATGAAAAAGACGACAGCAACACATATATTGATGGCTATGAAGTACATGAATCCGACTATATACTCATTGCACGAGAGCTCCGAAAAGGGCATGCGCTCGTGGAGTATGACCGTGGCAATGAAGAGCACCACCGAGAGGACGCCGCCGACTAGCATCATCTGTGGAGCAGGTGAAGGGGGTGACAGGTGCAGGAGTGTAAGGTGTGTCGGCAATAGGTGCTTACCGCATTGGAGGTTATGAAATTAATATTAAAGTGGCTCAGATATTGGGCGCGTATTAGTACCATCACGACGAACGAATAGAAAATGGTCAGCACCAGCGTCCACTTCATGTAGAAGAGCTCCAGCCAGGTGAGATGCGCATTGCCCGCACTGTCTACGATGAACGTGCGCTGACATCTAGTGCTGCCACCGCCGATCGGTGCCGCCAGCTTGTAATCGGTGTTCATTGCCACATCCTGGTTAACGTACACGATATTATTGAGCATGCGCAGAGCACCAAAGCAGCAGATCTGCAGCAACAATGAAACAATGAGATCACGGAACAGGAATCGCTAAACAGGCGCACTCACGAAAGCGCAGAACGCTACAAAGCCGGTGCTAAAGCCCAGACCTCTGCACATCTTGCGACGACGAGCTGACACTAGCGACTGACCAACACGAAGAGGACAATCCGCATGTTGACGCCGCTGCTGGTGCAGTTGCAATCGGAGATGGCTCATGTGGGAGAAGAGCAGCTGGTTTGCATGGCTGGCAGTGAACAGTAAACAGTTTTATTTTACAAATGTTTTTTTGGCGACTTTAATGCAGTTCTTAATTATAAATGTGCATATGCTTTGTATGTCTGTTAGTGTGTGTGTGTGTGTGTGTGTGTATGTGTGGAGCTTTAAAATTAGTCAACGTATGAGTGTGCTTATGGCATGAATTGGTGTAAAAATTGCCATCAAAATATAAACAAAAGCTTTGGCCATGTACCCAAACTAAATAAACAATATTATCATTATAGTTATTATCATCATCATCTTCTTCTTCGCCCTCATCTGTTTTGTCAACCTCTGTCTATGTCTCTCTATTGACTAAACTTAACGCCAATGTTGTTGACGCGTGTCTGCATGTGCTTCAGCACATCCTCCGAGAATTCCTCGATGGTGGTGAAGCGACTCTTCTGGAAGCTGTAAATGTCCGCCAAGAAGGCCAGCAGCTGCTCCCGAAAATAATGGCAAATATCACGTAGATTCTCGTTAGGCCCAAAAAAGCCCCAAGCCATCAGGGGTGATATCTGTTCCGATATCACATAAAAGTGTGCCATAAATCCATTTTGAAATTTAAGCATACGCTTCTTTGCCTTCAACACCGACCAGACAGCCGTTGTCAGCGCCTGGAAGAGAGAGAGAGAGAGAGAGAGAGTTTAAATGGCATTCAGGAAGTCAGCAGGGAGAGAGAGTGAGACATAGAGAATATAAAAGGAAGAGAAAGTTCCCAGATCTGTCTAGCTTCCCTCTGCTCCTTGACAAGTGATGCTTATTTAAACTGCTTATCGATTAGTTACACCAATATTGAAAACGGTATTCGTTAACTGATACTGTTCACCGATTCTGTTAGCACGTCAACAGATCTAGCTTCAATGTGACATTTCATTTAATTGCTTATTCGGTCTGTTTGTCGTACCGTTTCTTTGAAGCCATTGGACAGCCAACGATTCTGAACAACGGCCGTAACGCTAGCTGGTGGCGCATCCAAGTCCCGGAACGAGTCCAGTATGATGAAGTCAAGGCAAATGTCGTAAAAGGTCATCGCCTTCACATTGCGCTGCTCGAGCTCTATTTGGATGCACGGCCAGTTGCTGGGCTCCTGCAGATAGTTAACCATATCCTCGTAGCCCACTAGGAACTCTTTGGTGTCCTTGTCGCCCAGGCACAACAGATCGGTCAGTATCTGCCGGCCCGCATCGCAAATCCATTGCCCGACGGCCGCATCCTTGAATAGATACTGAAAGGCAAGTCGCACGCAGTGCAACTTGGCCAAATATTCGGTGTCGCTGCTGCAGTGCATCAGCTCGGTCCGCATCGTCCGACAGGGCACTGTGTACTCTTCGTGATGCTTCAGCGCAGTCTGGAACAGCGGATACTCCTCGTACGCCGTCTCAATAAACCCATCGAATTCGCGCAGATCGGCCACCTGGTCCAGGGCCGAGGCGAAGCTTTCTGCGGAGTCGAAGTTGGGATCGGAGCCAACGCGACTCAATACGCTGCCCGACTTGCGCGAATGGCGATCGTCGTCACCGTCTGCGGTGGCAGCTAATCCGTCCTCCTCAGCCTCGTCTATGGAATGTTCCTCGCGGAAGAGTACAGAGCGCTGATCAAGGAAGAGAAGTTCGCTTTGCTCCTGTAGCGTATACGCCATTTCCAGCAGGTTCTGAATCTCACGACAGAACTCCGAGTCTTCGGCTGTTGTCAGCGAGGCTGGCACTCCACCGGGCGAATAGTGCGCGGCCAGCGCATCTTCCCAAAAGTTGATCACTGTATCCAGTGCCTCCATGCCCATCACGCCCAGCTGCTGGGCCGTTAGCTGCGGCACTACTCCAGCGCCAACGGCGCCTACCAATTGCTGATTCTGTACCATCGCCCCAATGGAGCCCGACGCCATTGACAGACGATCCGAGTACGCTACCGTCGAGCCAACGGGACTGCCCGATCGCGCCGAAGCTTTTGAGCCGGCCACGGATGTCAGATCGTTGGGACTCCGCATGCTATTCCGTGTGCGTCGTCCGGTATACTTGCGCGGCCTTCGGATGGGACGCGGCGGCTTTCGCCGTCGCAGGAACCTTGACAGGACACTCATCAGGGCTACGCCGGCTGTCAGCGAGAAGAGCACAACCTGCAATGAAAATGGGAGGCAATCGTGTTTATTGACTGTTAACCCGGCTGAGTTGAATAAAAACTGTACACACTTTTGTCGTTGTTGATACCCGAAAAGGCAGGATACTCCATCCTGGCGTGGCCAGGGGACGACTCATGTCTCACTTAACTGTGGAATACTTTGTACTCGGGATTCTGATTGGGATTGTGCGTGATTTAAGGTTAAACTGGCCGGGCCCAATTACGCGCGCAACTTTCAAGTCGCGTGCACATGGGCCGTTGTTTTTGCTTTCGCCAGCTTTGAGTCGCGTGTTGTTTGCCCGAGTTGTTGTTGCTGTTGCCTGATGTTGTTGTTCTTGTCGCTGACCTTTTGGAGCACGTTACACCAGTAGAAGTATTATCGTTAGTTCTTCACTGATCACTTAACACACACACAAGTGCCTAAAGTTGTTTTGATAACAACTTAGTTTATGTGTTAATCAAATAATATTCGAGTGAAACTTTCACTTTCTTCTCCAAAACAACAATTGCATCACAATCGAAGGTTTGGCCTACAAATATGAATAGCGGCGTACTACCTGCAGTTGTTGCCAGTAAACCGAGCCGATAGTTGCTTATCGATATACCGATACAAGTTGCTAACAGCTCATTGGCAGGGCTGTTCTTTAATTCACACAAAAGCTTAATTTCACATGCTTCCACCCGTTACTTGCGGATTTCCATTCGCACAAACAAATACATTTATAAATATATATGTATAAGTGCGAATGTGCTATTATCATGATTGATTATTTTATATTAGTTAAAATCTCTGCATTATCATGGAACCAATAAATAACTAATTAATTATTAAAAACTAACCCATTAGCTGACCCAAAAAATAGCAGCATATATGTAAATTGTAACTAAATGGAAATTATTTAAATCATTTATTTTTTAGTTTACCAATTTATAAGAAATAATCGATACTCTCTAAGATGTTTCCTGCGAGAGTAACATTGCTTGCATATGCTGCTTGCTATACAACTCGGCGCGCACTTTAAATATGAACTTGAACTGTATGATTAAGCTGTGATACACCTGAGGGGCTGAAGTTGGCCAGATTACTAAGACTATGGATTTTAAAGCATATATAAGGTAAAGGTTATTAAATATATGGTTAGTCTGCATGCTATCACTTTTGGGAATAAACAGCGAATGTGGACGATGCCACTGCCTCTGCTGCTGCTGTTGCTGTTGCTGTTGCTGTTGCTAGTCGGCTGCTGTTGCGGCTGCGGCTGCTGGCGTTGCTGCTCAGCCAACGTCACTGCCTATGGCTTAAAGCAAACGCCTGTCAGTCGAACTTTAACGGCGTTTGCTAACGGACGCGTCTGACTTGCTCTCTGGCACTCTCGCTCTCTTTCACTCCGGCCAAACTCGCATCGTATATAATTCGAATGTAAGAAGCAACGGCCAATATTCAAGACGCTTCCTTAAAGCATAAGCTAACTGTCATTGTTGTGCGTTTCTCCATCCCGTTCCCCATTCCCGTTACCATTCCCATTGTCCATTGTTGCTTTATGGCCTCAGTGCGTGTGCGGTGCGTGCTAATTAAACCGTTTATTGCGTAGGCGCAAAGAGAAACTTTTTTGTCGCCTAAGAATTCTGATTTGCATTGTGTGTTTTTTGTTGTTGTTTGTTTTTGTATACATTGTGTGGCATCGTTTGTTTGTGCTTGTTTGTTTTTGTTTTTTGTTATTTATTTATTTATTTTTTTTTTTTGGCAACACCAAGTGTGCAAAGAAGAAATTGAAGCCCGGCAAGAGCGAACGTTAATATAAAAGCTGATTGTATTTTATGCAAATTCTTTTGCAGTTGTAGCTAACTACTCGGACGACAACAGCGACGACAACACGCAGCAGCGACAGCATCATTAACACGAGTCAGCTAGAAAGCACAGATCAGGTAATTGAAACCATAGCAAATCGAAATACATATCCCTTGATATTGAATGATTCCGCACGTGCACTTTGAAGATCAAGGCCAGCAGAATCCTTAACTCGACCATGGCAGAGGCAGACGCAGCGGCAAGGTCGTCGTCTACGTTGCCACTGCTATTTCCACTGCCAAGGTGAAGGTCACTGCAAGAGACGTCGGCAGCAGCTGCATGCAGTTTATTGTTGTTATATAAACGAGATGTGAGCTAGCCCAAGCACCCAACCACCCACACACCGAAACACACAGAGAGAGAGAGAGACTTTCACACACGCACACAAACATACATACATGCTACTACTACTACTACTACTAACCCAGTAAGCAACTGCGCATGTCGCTGCCGACGTCACTCTCTCCGCGTCATATCCTTTTTTCGCTGCTTTCTCTGCCATAACGCCAGCGCAGACGCTTCCGTCATGGCCGTCGCCGCAGTCGCCGCAGTCGCAGCATTGAACTTGACAGCAACTTTCAATGCGACAACGAAAGGCATGGCCAGCGGGAGATGGGGTAGATAGGTAGACAGAAACAGTAACAAGGTTAGTGGGTTAACTTTGTCTGTGGGGTCTGCGCTCTGGTCTCTGGTCTCTGGTCTCCGTTCTGTGCATCGACTCTTTCTCTGTCGCTGTTGACGCTGGCGCTGAAGTTAACGTTGACGTTGACGTTGACTGCGGCGGCAATGGTAACTGCGGCCGGATTCAAAAACCCGTTATCAAGTGCTCATGTGCTCTTTGATCGTCGCTTGCTCATGGGATTTCTTTTACAATTCGCTTCACACCCGCCCATCCGCTCATCCGCTTGTCCGTTTCTCCGCTCGTTCGTCATTGAATATTGGAAAATAAAACTGTCTTATTCCATTTCTATTCAATATCAGGGGCTCTGGACCCATCTCAATTTTGATTACTCCTTATGGAAAAGCAAACGCAATAAAAGAAAATTAAAAAAAAAAAAAAACAACAACAACCAAAATCCAACGGCAATTGCAGCTCCACCTGCGCCACATTCGAGTCAAATCAATTCAATTTGCTTTCGTCATCAAAGTGGCACACAGGTGAAATTGCGACGCTCATTTGGGTTGGCTGAGCCGCCAAACAAGTCCGAGCAGGTGCATTTCGATCTATTCAGTTTGAATTTCCAACTGCCAAACTCAATTCGCGACTGTCAATCAGCATTCAAATGAACTAGCTCTATCTGGGAACATAATCACTGGTGATACCAACTAGTTGTATATGAACTGCTTGGAACTTTGAATCAAGATAAATTAGCAAGAGCTTGAATTTAAAATGGCTGATAAATGAGCAACAGTTCATATGAACTAGCTCGATTTAGAAATGTCCCAGTAATCATTTCTTTTAAATGTCGGAGCCTAATTTTCGCTCTACTACGAGTGATATATTTTAAGTGAGAAACAGCTCAAATGAACTGGCTCCGTTTTTGACAGCAATACAAATTGCAAGTAGTTTGTTCTTAGGACTAAAACTGCATTTAAAAGAGTTACATACTTTGCTCATTGATTCCTGAATGATTCCTGATTAACGTTTTTGATGTACAGCTTTATTTTTACAATAATCAAATTCAAGTGCGGAAGTTCAATTTCCTTAAACAAAGACAACCCATTATGTATTCTAGTGAATAAAATTCTGAAAGTCTGATGAACCATAGAATGGTTTTTTCGACATATTGAGCCAGATACGAAAGCAGTGAGAAAAGTTAATTACTTTGAATGAAAGAAAATCATGAGTTAGTATTAAATTAAAAAATACAAATAATATAATAAAACTCAATTAAAATTGAACACTTTCAAGAAGTTTAGTAAAAACATTTATCTTTTTCTAGCTTGATCAATGCTTTTCCAATTCTTTTCTGTAATCGCAATTGGTTTTCTGCAAAGTCCGTCTGTCCGTATGAACACAAACCATTTTGAAGGTATTGGATCAATGAATACTATTCACGCTAGAGATTTTAGATTTGGAGAATATACTCTTGTAAATCCCCTGGAGTTAGGGACTATTAAGATTTTCCCCGATTTAAGGTTGTGGCAAATCGGAAACTGCATTTTCTGGCATGTATATCAGTAATCTTTTTGGTATAGTCGCATTTACAACCCTAGATTCACAAGCCAGACGAGTCCATAGACGTCGCTTGTTCGATTCTTTTGTTTGACAGTGTTATTTGGGCGGCTCCTTTTTGGCCTAAGCGCTCTGGCCGCACTTAGCACTTGGCAGTTGGCACTTGGTAAGAAGGCGTTTAGACCCGCCTCTGGAGTTCGATGACTTGGAGCACGTCAATTCGCTTGGCACGCCGAATTTTACGCTTGACTGAGATGCGGATGAACTGGCGTACGTTAATTACCGGACTGTGAGGGTAGCTGGAGGGGATGAGGATGAGGATGGGGATGGGTGACAGGGGCCAGAGGAGGCATTCGGGGAAAATGAAGAAAAACTGTGAAGATGGCGACGACGAAGCGTAATGAAAACAAAACAAAATATCTTTGAGCCAAGAGGCGGGACTGGGTGGGGGCTGGCGCCTGAGTAAGTGGTTTTGAATGCCTGCAAAACGAATAGTTGAAAATCTCGTGACGAAAACAAAAACAACAAAAAATTAACAAAACGGAAAATTACTGAACAACAACAACAACAACAACAACAAAAGCCAAAGCAAATCTGGTCTGAAGCTTTTCACTTTCACTGGCGGCAATTGAAATTGCGGTCTAAATGGATCCGGCGGGGTCGCTGTTCCCCAATTGACGTCGATGTGACTGCTCTCGAATGTGGGCCGTCGGTCAGAGGGGGTTGGGTTAATGGCTAGGGCCACGCTCTAATAACCCAGACGCGGCATTTCACTCATTTCACTCGCCCAGCCAAATGGGGAAATCAGAACCCGCGCCGACAATTTAACGGCAGTTCAAAGCGAGTGATTCACTCACTGAGTTCTCCGAAAATGTTCAACGTTTTCAATTACTCTCTGCATTTAATCTGTTTTCAACACACAGTTTAAATATCTCATAAATCACACAGATTTAGGCAGACACCGATTGCTGAATGCTAAATATCATAAGGTCGAGTTCCTTGAGTCACAGCGGAGAATCCCTGGAGTATTCCTAGCCTAACAGCTGTACAGAAGTTACACACATACAGTTACTACATACATGTATTACATGTATTATGTAGGAATGAATAGAAGTAATACCCTTTAATCATATTACTATATATTTGTAGATGAATTGAAGTCTGTTATTAATACCCTGTAATCGTATGGAAATGCTTTTCGATTAGAATTATTTTTGGGCAGACATGTAACTGGAGAGAGAGAGAGCGAGAGAGAGAGAGAGAGAGAGAGAGTTAGTCAACTATACCCTGTAGTCCGTAGGAATTAGTCATTCCTAGTCAGTCAGGCATACCCTGTAATGGTATTGAATAATCAGAACATATAAATTTCTTAATAGCAAGAGATAAATTCCCGGACTACATACATATATGTATATAGATATATAATTTTATTGAGCATGCGTATACGGGCAAGACCCTTCGAAAGTCCGGGGGATCATAGGTCGGAATGGCTGATTATCCAGCTGCGCAGGGTGGCGATGCTTTCGTAGCCGTCGGGCGCTTCCCGGCCGCAGGCGCCCAGCACAAAGCTGGCCACGCCTACGAGCCGACCCCCGTAGACTGCCGGTCCGCCGGAGTCGCCGTGGCAGGCGCCCAGATTGGCGCCGTGAAGCAGGCACATGGTCGTCGCGGGCAGGCGCCCATAGTAGCGGAGGGTGCAGTCGGAGCGCGCAATGCTGCGCACCTGGACGTACAGCAGGTCGTTGGAGGTGGGTCCGCCGTGGTAGATGGCGCCCCAGCCGGAAATGTGCACAACGGAATCAACTGGCGGATCCGCCTCGGCCAGCGGGATGGCGACAATGTTGGCATTGAGGCTGAGTGGCCTAGCCAGACGTAGCAGGGCAATGTCGTAGCCCTGGCCCCCGTTGAGGTACTGCGGATGCACCTCGATCGCCGCCACATCCACGTAGACAGCGTAGCTGTTCAGCTTCAGGCTGCCCGCCTGCACCGCCAGCCTGGAGGGATCTGTGCTGCGGACAGTGGGTTAGCGAGCGCGACTTGCGTGGCTTGAGTGTAGCGATTCAACTTACACATCCTGCCCGAACTGGATGCAGTGCGCCGCGGTCAGCACATAGCTGGCCGATATTATGGAGCCGCCGCAGATGTGCCTTCCAAAGAAGCGCACCGACACCTGGTGTCCGAACTGCCCGGCACTGGCACGTCGTCCGCCCACAATGCGCGGACGTATGGGCAGCAACGGCCGACTGGTTGTCGTCTCCTCCCGCTCCTGCTCGCTGCGCGCTAGCGAGATCAGCAGCAGCTGGATCAGCAGCGACATCAATAGTTTCCCTAGCAGCTCCATTTCACCAGTCAAGTGCTCGGCATGAGTTGACGTTGCCTGCTTTTATATGACGATCCATCATCATGACCTTCATCATCATCAACATCACCATCATCATTAGCTCCTTCTATGGAACTTATCAGTCTGCTAAATGACAACGCCTTAATTACCCTACGGGAAAAAAGAAACAGCTTAAGCAAGCTCGACACGTGCTCCGAGTTCATTATATTGCATCACATATGTATTATACCTATGGATAGGTTTATATGGATCAGGGATCTACCCTGGCTCTGAGAGATCACAGTCAAAGATTTGAGCTGGTAGAGCCGTATAATCCACTATATTCTTCAGTTGAGAATGGGAGTACATTGATAGTCGGCTGTCATGGTGTGCAGGCAGTAGGCGTGGCAGAGATTGGGGTATATGCCCAGAAGACAACACAGACTTGGTCAATCGTGTCAGCAATTCTCATTTTAAATCTATATTCTTCTATTACTACATGCAGTGCAAGCTTATAGCACTATATGTAAATCCCTCGATCCCCTGAAAAATTTGCATTTTGATTTATTATCGATAGCAATCGATAATTCAACTGGACCATAAAACACCGGATTCTTGTAGTGCATTTATAGATTTGGAATAATTGTAATAAATATTTAAATCAAATATAGACCTTTGACTTTGGAAAGAATAATACATCTGGAATGGGTAGTACTTAATATCAATTTGCATATGAGAGTGTCCAGCGTAGCCATCAGTCGGTTACTCCCCACCGCAGCAGTCTAAGCATTATTTTGTTTACATTCAGTATTAAAAGCTTTATTTGTTTTTCCCTGTTTTCTGCTCAGCTCGTTGTTACCTATTACTTTGAAGTCTAAATTCGTAGGCTAAAATAATTTTGGTAGAGCAGAAGTTGAACTTTTGGCATGATTTGAATAGAGTTGTTGGTATCTATGGCTAATCGATAGGCGTACCACTTGGCTTTTTAAAATTTCTCTATATTTTAACAAGTCTTACTTGTCTGGGCTCCTACATAAAGCACGGCATTACTTGAGCCACTCATTGTAAGATCTGTAGTTCTATGCACTTGGGACTGTCCAATTGACTAAAGTAAATGCCAAGGGAATTGCGGATTATAAATTAAAAATTAATATCGACCAATATTCCATTCATTAATTGCTAATACCCCCTACCCTGCCTCTACCCTGAGAAGCCCTGCTAGTGAAAGTAACCCACAAATCCGGACAGTTTTTATCAGTTGATTTATTGCGTACTATCGTCTGCTCTACAAGTTGGCATGCTTGATGATCCAGTCGCGATGGTAGAACACCTTGGCATAGCCATCGGGTAGGGAGGAGCCGCAGCCGTTGACCACAAAGCCAGCGACGCCCACGAGCTCGCCGTTGAAGATGGCCGGGCCGCCGGAGTCGCCGTTGCAGGCGCCGTTGTCCTTCTCGTGGGCCAGACAGAGCATGTTGTCCTTGTAGACCGCGATGGAGGTGGCGCACTGCAGCTTCGATATGGCGCTGAGCGTGTTGAACTGCAGCTGGCGCGGCACGTCGCCCTCGTGCCAGAGCCTGCCCCAGCCGGAGATGATCACGTGGCTGCCGGCCGGTGTCTCCGCGCTGGCCAGTGGAATGGCGCGTATCTGGCTGGAGTAGATGAGCGGGCTCTCCAGCTTCAGCAGCGCCACGTCGTTCCAGAAGCTGCTGTATTCCTCATGCACTCGCACGTGAGCCACGTTCCTGATCATGCCGCCGGCGAAGCGATCCAGGGAGCCGGCACGAATGCTGATCGCACTGGCGGGCGTGCTGCGCATTTATGTAGGTGTATATGGAGAGACAATGGGTTAGGATTACTGGGTTAGAGTCGAGCTGAGCTGCAGCACTCACGGGATCAAAGTTCCGTTCGCCAGTTGCTGGGTGACGCAGTGGGCTGCGGTCAAGATGTAGTCCCGGGCGATGATGGAGCCGCCGCAGATGTGGGATCCCTGGTAGCGCAGCGAGATCTGATGCGGAAATTGCGCAGCACTGGCATCCTCGCCCCCGACCACGCGTCCCGTCGGCGCCCACTGGGGAGCCGCCGAGATCACGGCCAGAGCCGAACAGGCAAATATCAGAGCTCTCCACATGACGAAGCTAGCAAGTGGTTGTCGACGATGGTAGAGTGGGTCTATTTATGCACTAATCTGAGTGGATTACTGCTTCCAGTCTATATCTTATCGGCACGGGTAAAACCTTTGTGCGATATGTGCGATCTCTCTCTCTCCCGTTCGCTCTGATCATCGAACTAGATTCCATCGAACTAGATTCCATCGAACTGTGATTGGAAATATTACGAGAGAGGTCGGGAATATCCGACTAGAAGCTAACCAGGGGATAGCCAAGAAATGCTTTTATAATATACACTGTCAATCGGACATGTAACCAATATACTCTCTTTGCATCTTGAGCGGGTATATGAGCGTAATCGATAGCTTATCCGTCCGATTGCCGAATTGTGGGCTTATCCGTCAAGGGTTTCGCCCATAACAATAAATAGCATGTTATAAAACATTGGCTTCTTAGCCGTGTCGTGTGATATATTGCGGGGAAGGCTCTCGGGCTACGCAACAGCCTCTATAAAAGTACAATAGGTATGGCCTTTAGCTTTAGGAACCTAATGCGATTATAGACTACGCATTGAGATTATAATCATAATGCTGCAATCAAATTTTGATTTATACTAAAAGGCCTTCTCTCTTCTCTCTCCATCTCTCCTATGACTAGATGATAAATGGGCTCAAAGACTTTAGACGGTGGCGATTCGAATTTATAAATCAATAGATCTCGATGATCCTGAATTTCGTATACACATATGTATGACAACAGTGAACAATACAAGGTCATCAATTTTATTGATAATTCATTCTACTTCCTTATCGAAATCAATATTCCAAATCATAGAAATTATAAAATATAAATAGTTGAAATTTATAAAAGAGGTATTAATGGAATATATAAATTCTCTAGAATATCTTAATTGCGCTCTGAAAATTTTATTAAGCACTTATTTTGAGTGTATGAGTGTATGGATATGGAAAATTTAGAAATTATTGATAATGTTGGTGTATTATATTGTTTGGTCGGCCAGTCTATGATAAGAGCATTCCGACATGTTCAATACAATAGATTACTGCATACAGAACTCTAGATTAGCATACTAAATATAGTATATCTAAATATTTATCGATATCTGGTATGTGTCGTAATGCTTTAATGTCAGACAAGATAATGCCCTTGAACACTTGAAGATGAGATAAGACATCGGCAATGCTTAAGGACTCCCAAGTACGACAAATCCGCAGCTATATCTTATCTATTAACATTTGGTGGGAATGAGTAATTGATACATTTCTAGAAGCTATGGAGTGAATAGAAACGACTCTATAGAGTCTCTTCAGTTCTATATTCTTTATGAGTATATGAGGAAAAGGTTATGCAGCTTTCTCGAATTATCATCATTTTTGTCTCTGCTCTTTGTATCCCAAAGTAGTTCCTAAAACATATATACGTCTAACGTCTAAAAGGGTATTCAAACTTCGACTTGACTTTTGACGTGATCAGCAATATTTATGGACTGTATAAATATAAATATAGCGCAGTGGCAAAATATGATTTATATATTCTGAATTTTCTTAGTCATCCAAACGGTCTAATCTAAACTAAAATAGAATTGTGTAATTCTTACTAGAGAGACCTTTCATTGAGTATATTTGCAATAAGAAATCTAGAACTAACTGAATGGATTATCCTCTGGGCAACAACTAGACAGAGATATTAATAGATCACATAATATTTCAGCTGCCATCTAAGGAGTAAATCTATTTAGATATCTGAGTCTATAATATAACTGACTCTACTTGTTCGTTCTTTCCGCTTTCCCTGGAGAGTGAGTGAAAGGGAAATACATCTATCTTAGATTGGAGCTGGAACTGGATCCCCAGATTCGCATATAGAGCCTATATAACATGTTCATTTATCCCCTACTGAATGGATCGCCCAAAAAACAACCGCTATCCAAGTCGTTTCTTATTGGATTTTAATAATGAAAGCGGATATACATATATTTGGTTGGGGTACATGAAGTTAGTTGCGCAGCTGCTCCTGCAGCCAATCCTTGTAGCCGGCAACGCGCACGAAGACGTCCGGATAGCGAGAGCCGCAGGCGCCGACCACAAAGTTGCTGACGCCGATGAGGCGCCCGTTGTGGATGGCTGCACTGCCGCCATCGCCATGGCAGGTGCCCTCCCTGAGGGCGTGGGCCAGGCAGAAGCTCTTGGCCGGATCGTAGTCGCTGTACGCGTCCAGGCAGCTGGCGCTCGCAGCGAGCTTCAGGTCGAGCTGGCGCAGCTTGAACGAGGTAATGCCCTCGACGGTGGTGCCCCAGCCGGCGACGCTGACCTTGGCGCCATCCTCCGGCAGCGCCTCTTCCATGTCCACCAGCTCCACGGTCTTGATGCGGTCCGTCAGGGCCAGCGGACTGGCCAGCTTGATGACGGCCAGATTGTTGCTCAGCTGGCTATAGTCGGGATGCGGTGTCACCGAGGCAACGGTCACAATGCGTCCGCCGGCATACTGATTGGTGCTGCCCACGCGAGCCGACAAGCGGCTGGCATCGACACTGCTCGAGAGAGAGAGAGAGAGAGGGGAATTGAGCATATGAGCTGATCCTGGCTGTAGGCGACACTTACAGCTTGCCATCCCGATAGCAGCAGTGGGCGGCGGTCAGCAGATGCGACTCGGAGACGATGCTGGCGCCGCAGACGTGCGCATTGTCGATGCGCAGGGATACGGCGTAGGGTGCGTAGTTGGCCGCGGCCTCCTCGCCGCCCAATATGCGGCCCTCCGGGGCTGAGTCGCTGGGCATGGCCATGGCCAAGGCCAGGCAGCTGACCAGCAGCAGTGCTCCCAGTTTATCCATCTCAGTGTCAGTTGGTAGCTAAGTTTTGGTACGCGAATCGCCTCCTCTTTGTCGAATGCGCAGTGCAAATGCTTCCATGTCGATGGGTTTGGCCGCTTGGCGGCTTTGCGTCGCTTGAATGCCCACTAAATCTAATCTTATCGTGGTCAGCAGCTCGTTTCAACTGTTATTGCTATTATGCCAGCGATAAATTCGCAATGTTATTGCCCAATATAAAGACGGACAGCACGTCGGCCGGACGGGGACTTTCGGTTTGGAAAACACTTTGGATCCCAGATAGAAATAGCCGCGACATCATTCAAAAGATATGACGACGATGAGTCAAAGTTCTCATTCGAACTGAAGATGGATTCACTAAGGCTTTCCCATTTCGATATCACTCGACAGATATTGCAGTACTTCGTTCAAACGATATAGATAATTATATAATAATACATATACGTAGCATTTATAAAAAAAAAAAACAACTAAAATTCAATTGACCTTCACATATTCCATTAGGAAAACCTCATGCCAAGGCGTAAGCTATCAAAACTTTCTTTCTTACGTTTGCAATGCAATCTATTTCAGATTGTATACATATTTGATTTACTTAATAAATCTCCAGCGAATCCAAGCAGTTCGCATGCAAAACAAATTCGATTTGTTTCACAATCAATATTGAATTTAAATTTTTGATAAAAGTTTCACAAGTTTTGATTTGATTTACGTACTAATTTACCTATATTTACATGGCCATTCTCGAAATTTTATTGTATGAACTAGTCTCTCTCTCTCTCTCTTTTTACGTTTCTGTCTCTCTTTCACTGTTTGATTCTCTCTCTCGCTCCTTTTGTCTCTCTAGCGCTTCCTTCTTTCTCTTTCGCACTCTCTCTCTCCCCCTTGATCTTGTTACCTCTTTCTATTAGTCACTATCTACCTTTCTCGTTGTTTCTTCTCTCACTCTCTGTCTCTTCCGTCCACTTTCTCTCTCTCGATCCTTCTCCGATGCGCGCGAGAGAGAGAGAATGAGTTTTATAAAAAAAAGGGCAACATAATCTCCTTCGGTCTTATTCTGTTTCTCTCCCACTCATTCTATCTCACTTTCTCACTCTCATTTCTTTATCTCTTACTTTCTCTTTCAGTGTTTCTCTCTCTCTCCCGCTTTTCGTGATCTCTTTCTGTCTCTTCTTTTCCTTTCTAAATGTGTTTATCTGTATGCCTGTCTCTGTACTGGTCATCTCATTTTTTTATTGATCATGTCTCCCGCTCTTCTCTCTCTCTCTCTCTCTCTCTTTCTCACTATCTCTTCTCTCTTTCTCTCACTCTTTCTCCCCAACATTTTGCGTCTCTGCTTATCATTCTTGAATACTTTCCACGAACTGAAACTCATTTGGGCTGCTATCAAATCGAGTGGCTTCAATAATACGGAACCTTTGTTCGTTCTATTTTACAGTAAGCCAACGCTATCTTTCGACCATATAGTACCTGTGTACGATACAATCAATTGGCCGTTAGTTAACTTCTGATATGACCCATTATAATTTATGGACGCTATAAACGGATTGTTTGGTTCTCACATGCGTATGTAATTCCCGTCCAGCTCAGGGCCCATAAAACGCTCGTAAATTGGCAATATAAAATAAACACGCGGTAAACCTTATTTTTTGTGGCTTCTTTTCTTTTCTTGTTCTTCTTCTTTTATCTCTTTTTTACACTTCACTCACAGTAAAAAAATGTCAAAAAAATGATATTAATTGACGAAAAGTTGGGTTAAGTTTACTTCTGGTTGGCTGCAATCCAGTTAAGATAGTAGGCGATGCGTGTGGATATGTCGGGGTATTTGGTGCCGCAGTTGCCCCAGAAGAAGCTGACAATGCCCTGCAACACTTGGTTGTCATCGACGACAGCACCGCCGTCGTCGCCGCGACAGATGCCCTCCTTTTCGGCTCTGGCCAGGCACAGAACGGAATCGTAGCCATAGCCAGCCTGCAGCTCACAATGGGGCTTGCTCAAGGTGTTCAGGCTGGACTTCTGGAGCTTGTAGTTGGTGGTGCCGTCCGACTGCTCGCCCCAGCCGGTCACATAGACGGGCGTGCCGTTGGCTGGCACCTCCTCGACTTCGCCCTCCTCCAGGGGCTCAGGCAGCTCGATTTTGTTAACCCGCTCGTTGAATGTTAACGGCTTGCTGAGCGTCAGTATTGCCAGATCGTGCAAAAAGTTGCCATACGAGGGATGGATAAGCACTGCGCTGACATCCACTAGCTCGCCTCCGGCTAGAACGTTGATGCTGCCAACACGAACCGTTAGCTTGTCGGCCGAAATGCTGTAAGGGAGAAGAAAAGGTTATGAAGCTCAACAGCAGTACATTTGGAGCCGAAGCTAGAAAGGAAGCAGTTGCAAGCAACTCTGCATACAACTCCAGCTGAAGCTTAGCTTCCGTTAGGGATGAACTGAACTTCAGCTGGAAAGTTATCGATAGTCCAAGTGATTGCTGCAACTAGTTCACTGCGTGTAACCAGCACTCATCAAGTAGCTCTAGTTAGGGATGAGCGCTAAGCTCTACTTACGGCTTGGCGCCCAACTCGGACACACAGTGGGCGGCGGTCAGCAATTGAGTCTGGGATATGATGATGGCCTGGCATGCGTGCACCTTGTTGACGCGCAGCGATGCCACATAGGGAAACTCGGCCACCTTAGCATCCTCGCCGCCAAGCAGGCGGCCCTGCGGCAGGGCAACAGCCAGACCCAGGATTAGGGTCAAGCTGAGTGCTGCAAGCGAAACGCGTTGGTCTTTCATGGCGTCGGAATGGTAACTAAATCGTCAATCATTGGCTTAGCCGCTTGGCACTTCGGTCTGCATCTAATCTGTTTGTTCGATAAGCATTTAATATGACCTGGTCGACGTCGATTAGATTGCCGGTCATAAAACTCTGACGCCAGTATAAAAGTCTCGGACCAGGGGCAGCCCTCAACTAGTTAGAATTGAGCCCAACATGAGCCGAGTTCACTACAGTTGGCTACTCCTAGTGCTGCTTGGCGCAGCTGGTGCCTTGGCGGCGTCTCCCTCGAGTCGACTGCTTGCAGGCCAGCCGGCTGCTGTCGGCTCTCACCCGTACAGTGTCTCGCTGCAGCGCCAGGGTCTCCACATCTGTGGAGGTGCTTTGATCAGCAACAAGGTCTGCCTGACAGCAGCCCATTGCGTCACCGTCGGCGGCACTGAAAGGTAACGCCTCAGACAGCGGACAAGTCTCCCAGCATTAGCATTAATGACACGTTTCCTGCCTGCAGCTTTCCGCCCCGCACTTTCCTGGTGCGAGTGGGCAGCATTCAGCGCCTGGCCGGCGGTCAGCTGGCTCAGGTCGATAACATTGTCGTGCACAAGGATTACGCCAATGGGCTCAATGATCTGGCACTGATTGTGCTCCAGCAACCGCTGACGCTGACTGCCAACATACAGCCCATAGCGCTGGCCAGCCAGGCGCCTCCTGCTGGCGCCGAGATCACCTTCACCGGCTGGGGAACCACGACCCATCAGGGGTCTCTCAGCCACCGCCTGCAGGTGGGCAAGCGCCAGGCAATCAGTGCGGCCGACTGCCAGAAGCAGCTCTACTTAGAGGACGAGAGCGTCCTCTGTCTGGTGCCAGCCTCCGAGACGGCCTCCGATGGCATCTGTCAAGGCGACGCTGGCGCGCCGGCTGTCTACAACAATGAGCTGGTTGGCATTGGCGGATTCATCGTCGACATCTGCGGCAGCTCCCTGCCCAATGGCTTCGTGAATGTCGCCCATTACCTGGACTGGATCAAGGCCAACATGTGAAACTAACATTGAATCCCTCCAGATTTGATATTACTTAGTTGTGCCAACAGGATATCTAACTTTTATATATGATATACATAGCTCCATAAGATCTGTAAAGTTAAATTGTATTACCAATTTTGGACTAAGCTGCACAGATGCTAACCTTAAACCGAATTTCCCCCCACAAACTTTATACCCACCATGACTATTTGGTTTATAAATCGGATATTGATAAGATTTCGGGGCCATAGTAAAACTGGCATTCTGGAATGCCAAGTCTAATCAAGTAATTTCATTAGTTTTATTACTCAAACTCCAGTGAGGGTACGGCTCTCGAGTATAGCTTACTGCATAATACTCGCTCGCACGAAGTGGATTCAGACAAGAAGTTTTCGACTCAATCTCACATCTTTGTTTACGGTATATCTTATAGAACTAGCCACATTGACTCTCACAATCATAAACTAATATACTCTATTCACTCAGTGAAAGAGCATGAGATATAAGCGAATTTGCATAAATGCGACAGAGGAACAGGTAGATACGATAAAGCTCCCTCTCCATTAGCTCTGTGGAAGTGGAGACGTCTTCTTTTAAGCCATTTACAGTTCGTGACTAAAATATCATATGATAATAATAAATTATTCAGTATCAATTGAATAATAAACAATTTGCACAAATAAAGACCGAGAGGCTTGTTCAGCTATATATATACGTAAATGTATGTATGCATATACGTACGTTATTGACGAAAGTGAATGTGATTATGTTATCTGAGTGGAGGGTATCTTCTGATACTTCTTCTTACTTGATAAGCCTCATAGGCTCATGGAGTCTTTTACCACGATTCTTGACAACTTTTTTGCGTTTGTGTAAGCCCAACGTTTATATCAATTTATGGCAATCATATAAAAGAGATAGAAACAAATAGAACAAATAGATATTTTACACTACTTGCTGGACTTGCTCTCACTCCCTGTAACACTTTGGCTATATCGTTAAAGGGACACTTCTTCGTAAAGGCCTCAGTTCAGCTCGAAATTCCATTCGTAAATGGAGCTTATGTACTTATTGAGAAAATCTCTTTGTTTAGAGACTTCAAGTTCGACATGTATAGATATTCTGGGACACATCCATTCTCTCGCTGTTTTATCATCCATTTTATTTGTTATTAAAATCGATCATGGCTCAAAATAAGTTATTTAACCATCAAAACAAGAGATACCAAATATATTTCTATGGCTGAATACACAAAGAATACGGTTCCGATTTTGTATAAAGACTTGGATCACCCGCCTGAGTTGAAATGTGTATTTCTAGTCGTATAGACTCGAGCCTTCGATACTTTACTTCTAGATGTCATTACTACATGCTGAAATTTCATTATGATAGGGTATACCGATTCGAATAACTAATTTACTATGTTGTATGGCTGTTGGAATACTTCCTATATACAAATATCTCTCTATATGTATTGAGATAGTGACAGAGAGAGGGAGAGCAAGAGAGCGCAACTCTTCTAAGGCGAGTTCAAGGTACATAACTTCAGGCAAGTCGATCCCTCTCAACTTAAGAGCTCCTACATACATACATAATACATATGTATACAACTGATATATATGTAGCTATTTATAGAAAGCCCCTGAGAATCGTGCCACTGTAAAGTAATATATATATATATAGTTATAGAGTGAAATATTTGGAGTATGACAAATAATTGTGGATCAATAGAGAATCGCATGGAGCAGATGTTGCTCAAGCATTGCTCTGTCAATTGGGATTGATGGATTGATAGATTGATTGATTGTAGACAATTGAGTTTCGACTTTATTGGGCAAGTTGTCCATAAGTTATTCCATTTGCTCCTGGATCCATTCGCGGTTGGCCGCAATGCTAATGAAGCGCTCGGGCAGCATGCCGCCGCACTCGCCCAAGGTCTCGCCGGCCAGGCCGACGAGGGTGCCCTGGTAGACAGCGGGCCCGCCAATGTCGCCGGTGCAGACGCCCTGGCGCCTCTGGTGGCCCAGGCAGAGCACCTGGTCGTTGCTCTCAAGGACGTCGTCGGCCAGGCGGCACTGGCGCTCGGCCTCAGTGACGGCGAATCCGACCTGGAGGGTGCGGTACATGTCGGTCTCCGACTCCTTGGTGCGTCCCCAGCCGGAGATGTCCACGTAGACGCCCACTGGTGGGTTCTCAGTGGCCAGGGGCACGGCGGCGACATACTCATTGAACACCAGCGGCTCGCTGAGGCGCAGCAGGGCAATGCCTGTCTTCAGCTCATTGTAGTTGGGGTTCACTGTGATCTCCTCCACGCGGATGCGCTGCCCGCCATTGTACAGATCCACGGTGCCGGCCGTAACCATAAATAGCTGTGGGGGCCACCTGCATTCGCCAGAGCACACGTATAAGAGTCGCAGTATAAGAGTGCGGGTCAGTTACTTACGGCGTATCCTTGCCCGCCGAGCAGACGCAGGTGAGGGCGGTCAGGGCATAACGCTCGGCAATGATGGCAGCGCCACAGTTGTAGCTGCCGCCAACGGAGAGCGCCGCCTGATAGGGCAGCTGGCCCGGAACGGCATCCTCGCCGCCGGCCAGGCGGGCCTGGGGGCCAGCGCTGGCCATGGAGCAGCCCAGCAGGAGAGTCACAAATGCGCAGCTGAATTTCATTCTGTGTCTTTTTCTTTTATCTCTGATTTGCTTTGCGAATGGCTCGATCAGCGGTGGGCGTGTAGCTTTTATAGTCCCTGCGGGGTATCAGAACTAGATAGTAGCTACGACTATCACATATATACATACATATATATATATATACATATTTAGTGCTGGGCATTGGCTGTATCTTATCTGTGCATTGATGAGATACGTCCCATCCGGTTGGCATCTGATTAGACAAGCAGTTGGCCACTGATCCATTTCGATGGAATACCAGCTGGTGTGCTGGTGGGCTAGCGATAGTTAGAAAGAGAGAGAGAGATGGAGAGAGGGAGAGAGAGAAATAGTGTGGCTGAGAGACAATCCCAGCAAACGAATAGAAATCAATGAACTTTGATTGCATTTGCCAGCTGAGGCTGGGGCTGGGGCTGGTTGGGGAACACGTTTGCGGTCCGACTGGCTGGAACTGTCGGGAGCTGTGGGGCCAATGCACTCATCCCCAGCAGCTCGCCACGGCTGGACAAATTGAAGCACGTACGCCAGTCCATTCGTTTTGGTCAGCCACAACTGGTTGTTAACAAAGCGAAGCAGCAAAGCAAAGAGCCAACAGCCAACAGCCAACAGCCAATGACAGTGGCACTGGCTCAAGCTGAGACTCATCCATCTTCATCTGCTTATAACCTGAGCCTCGCTGGCCAATCTCGACATTTGCAGACTTGACGTCACCATCAGCGGATCACACACAATGATACTGCGGAACACCATTGCCGGGCAGCTGGTGGTGCTGCTGTTGATCTATGGCCGGCACACCTTGCTCTCCAGCGCCAAGACGGTGACCAGCGAGCAGATGTCTTTGGCGCTGCCGGAGCCGCGCGCCTATCTGCCCGACGCACAGAATCTGGACTTTGTCTACCACGATCACGAGGAGCTGACGCGCTTCTTGAGGTGAGTGCCACGTCGATTCCATCGTTCATAGGTCTAGTCTACAGAGAGATCTGCATCCCATATTAGGGCGACAAGCGCGCGTTATCCCAATCTGACGGCGCTCTACTCCATCGGCAAGTCGATCCAGGGCCGCGACCTGTGGGTGATGGTGGTCAGCTCGTCCCCGTACGAGCATATGGTGGGCAAGCCCGACGTCAAGTACGTCGGCAATATACACGGCAACGAGCCCGTGGGCCGGGAGATGCTGCTGCATCTGATTCAGTACTTCGTGAGCAGCTACAACACGGATCAGTACGTCAAGTGGCTGCTGGACAACACAAGGATTCACATACTGCCCACCATGAATCCCGATGGCTATGCGGTGTCCAAGGAGGGCACCTGTGACGGCGGCCAGGGACGGTAAGCTGAAGCCCAATGAGTCCACACTCGATCTCAATCCCGATCTCCTCTTGCCTTGTGACAGCTATAATGCGCGCGGCTTTGACTTGAATCGCAACTTCCCCGACTACTTCAAGCAGAACAACAAGCGCGGGCAGCCGGAGACGGACGCCGTCAAGGACTGGATATCCAAGATACAGTTCGTGCTCAGCGGCAGCCTGCACGGCGGCGCCTTGGTGGCCAGCTATCCGTATGACAACACGCCCAACTCCAGTAAGTAGTCTCTAAAGTGTGCACGACTGTCTAGCTCGGCCTCGCGTCTGTGAGTGTTCCGATTTATAAAGTCATCTCTCCCCCTCAATTCTCTCTGTTTGAACTTTAATCCTTGCCTTCGCACCAATATGGCTGCTCAAAGGGATCTGCCGTTCGTCCGCCCTGTGCGCGAGTGAGTAGACGTGCGCCGATGCTGGCTGATTCATCTAATCAAATCTCTATCTCTCTCTCTCTCCCTCTCTCTGCTTCTCGTTGTCTGTGTCATTGCATTTCTGTATTTTTTTGGTTATTTTAATTTGTTTTTTTTGTCGCACCACATGTCCCCTGGGCGCAGTGTTCCAGACCTATTCGGCAGCGCCGTCGCTGACGCCCGACGACGATGTCTTCAAGCATTTGTCCCTGGTCTATGCCCGCAACCATGCCAAGATGTCGAGGGGCGTGGCATGCAAGTCGGCCACGCCGGCCTTCGAGAATGGCATCACCAACGGCGCCGCCTGGTATCCGCTGACCGGCGGCATGCAGGACTTCAACTATGTGTGGTATGGCTGCATGGAGATCACGCTGGAGATCTCCTGCTGCAAGTTCCCGCCGGCCTATGAGCTCAAGAAATACTGGGAGGACAATCAACTGGTAAGCATCCGTGACAGATTCTAGTTCGATTCAGCTGCCCCGACTCCACTCCATCTCCATCCATTTGATCTCTGTCGCCACAGTCGCTCATCAAGTTTCTGGCCGAGGCCCATCGGGGCGTGCAGGGCTTCGTGTTCGATCCAGCGGGCATGCCCATTGAGCGCGCCTCCATCAAGATCAAGGGACGCGACGTTGGCTTCCAGACGACCAAATACGGTGAATTTTGGCGCATTCTACTGCCGGGCTACTACAAGGCCGAGGTAAGGAAAGCAAATCGTGCACCCACACTGCCGGCAAGGATTCATTTATAACCAGCTCTCTGCCTGAATTAGGTCTTTGCCGAGGGCTACGCGCCCCGCGAAGTGGAATTCGTCATTGTCGAGCAGCATCCCACGCTGCTCAATGTCACGCTGCAGGCCTCCAAGGTAAGAGCGGCTCAGCTCAATCTCTAACTGCTAACTAACAACCTGGTGCTGGCTCTATCCATCTAACTGACACTTCTCTTTCCCATATATGTATATATCCGTGTATATAACCCGATCCCTGCGCAGTATAATGTTGGCACCGCGCGTAAGCCCAAAAAGGAACGCAAGCAACGCCATCTCCTGCACGATCAGCTCCAAACGCCCAATGAGTAAGAGCGATGGCAAGGGCAATGTCAATCCCCGCGTCTGTAAATATTCGCCGAGTGCTTTAGACTCCTTGACCTGCCACTGATCCATTAGTCCAAAAATAGATCTCTAGAGTCCTGCTAGAGGGCTTGCACAGCACTTGAGCGATATCTACACATAGAGAACAAATTGAAATTCGTGACCAAAAAAAGATTAGGATTAAACTCGTAACACTAGCCAAATTAATACAAAAACAAATATATATAAACAGAAATAGTTACCTCGCACACTATTAATTTTTTTTTTTTTTTAATCTATTTACTCAATATATTATTGTGTATTTAATAAATAATATATGTAGAAAGATGTGCACTCGTTTAAAGGAAGAAAAAACAATCCCATAGTAAATATATGTACTAAGTGCTGTTGTTATTAATATTGTTAAGTCTCATGTTGGTTTTTGGCTTTTTAATGTGGACAATAAATATGGATTAAAACTTAAAAAGTAAAAAAAAAATCATTCGCTGTCAGCAACTCAAAATCACTTTTGCCCACTTTCCACAGCGCATTGAGGGTGTTGGAGCGGGCGGACCCTCGTACTACCGGCCGATGCAGCCGATACCGCCGCATTATAGACCAGGAGTTCCGCCCTACGCTGCAGCTTCTACGGACAATGGCATCTTTTCGACCATCAGCAATGGACTGAACAGCTTGTATTCAAATATTTTCGGTTGAGTCTGGAATGCAGATGCTGGGTGTTTGTTTCTTTTTTAAGATTTTATGTGTGTAGCTTTTATTTTTAGATTTAAATATGTTCGTCTATTTATTATAATTAAGAAGAAGAAAAACAATAAATACGTTTTGGAAAATAAAATAAATAAATCATATGACTTCAACTTCAATGATTGGGTTTAAAAAAAAAAAAAGCACCGAACAACAATAGTTCACAATAAGTTTCGTATACTACTTTTTTGAAAGTTCCGCCAGTGCTTCGCTCGTTTAATTTCATATCTAATATTTCGTGCTGTCTACTCACTTAACGATAGATTTTGACAGAAGGCTTTCAAATATCGATTCATCGATACGACATCAACAACCATACCTATTCATTCGCCATTTTCTTTGTCGCTTTGTCGCGCTGTGGGGTATTCTGAATTCTGTGATCAAAAAGTTGTGAATAAGCAGTGAAAATGGTAAATTAAATCAAATTGCATAAATAAAATAATTAGTTTACAACACATTAGATGCAAGCGTGATAAAATATTCATATTTTCATTGATAATTTCATACAAATTTGCGTTTTTATTTGCCGGGTGTGAAAAGCCGCACGCACCGACTGCAAAACCCATCATCAGCCTCAAGCCATTTGACTTGACAAGCCCGCACACACGTGAGGGCGCATAGCTTCCAGAAACTTCCATTATGTTTACATTTTCATTTAAACAGTCCGCGATATGTGTCGCCAATTGCAAAGACTGTCTCGTATTTCTAAGAAATGAATAGGCACTTTTTAAATGCATGCGGCTGGGTGTGTGCTGCGCTTGGCAGCAGCCGATGAATCACGCACCATTTGGGGTTAGGTCCGATGCAATAGGTGCGCAGCTTTTTTACACTCGAGCAGATGTGCATTCATGAACGCGGTGTATCCATAAACAAACTCGAAAAATGAATCTATTTTGTTAATATTGATCCTTATATGTGCATTTTAGGAGTTGTCATTGAATCCTGTGCGTATCCTCAAAAATGAGGCGCAGGAGGAGAAAGCCGAAATGGCGCGTCTGTCGTCATTCATTGGCGCTATTGCCATCGGTGATCTTGTGAAGAGTACCCTTGGACCAAAGGGCATGGACAAAATTTTGGTGTCCGCCGGACGTAATGCCGGCCAGGTGGAGGTGACTAATGATGGTGCCACAATTTTGCGAGCTATTGGCGTCGACAATCCGGCTGCGAAAATTCTCGTCGATATGTCGCGTGTACAGGACGAAGAAGTTGGCGACGGTACCACATCCGTGACTGTGCTGGCATCCGAGCTGCTGCGCGAAGCCGAGAAGCTCGTTGAACAGAAGCTTCATCCACAGATCATTGTCGCTGGTTGGCGCATAGCCACCCAAGTGGCTCTCGATGCACTCACAGCCGCCGCTCAGGACAATTCGGCAAACAATGAGAAATTCAAAAAAGATTTGCTTAACATCGCACGCACCACATTGTCTTCAAAGATTCTGCATCAGCATAAGGATTTCTTTGCCAATCTGGCCGTCGATGCAGTGCTGCGCCTCAAGGGCTCAGGAGAACTTAGGTCTATTCAAATCATCAAAAAGTCCGGTGGTACACTAGAGGATTCGTTCCTTGATGATGGCTTTTTGCTGGACAAGAAGCCCGGCGTGCACCAGCCACAGCGTGTAAGTGAAAGCCCAAACAATATTACTCGTTTAGCAATATCAATATTTGATAGTGCTTGTATGTGTGTTTCACGCTTCCTCCAATGCTCCATATTTGCGCGTCAAATTGACTGTGAGCTATGTTTATGAGATTATCATATCACAGCCATTTTGACGAGTTTGATGTGGCAGCCACCAACTACAAAAAGCTACGCGATGAGTTTGGAATATGATCCTTATTCTAACAAAGACAATAACTGCTAAATGAGCTATGATAACTTATTGATACAATAAATTTCATTAGGAGATGGAATCAATAATTTGTCATCACAGCTCAAAGTGTCTAAAAGATTCCTAATTAATTATGCAGTTAATTGAGCTCACAAAAGTGAAGTATTACAAATATAAAATGGTTTTAAATAGGTTTAAATAGGCTCTATAATGGTTGTGTTCTACTTTATTTATTCAGATTGAGAACGCAAAGATTCTGATTGCCAACACACCAATGGACACCGATAAAATCAAAGTATTCGGCAGCAGCATCAAGGTAGACTCGTTGGCTAAGATTGCCGATCTGGAGTTGGCCGAAAAGGAGAAGATGAAGGAGAAAGTGGAAAAGATTTTGAGCCACAAATGCAATGTGTTCATCAATCGCCAGCTGATCTACAATTATCCCGAGCAGCTGTTCGCCGATGCTCATGTGATGGCCATTGAGCATGCCGATTTCGATGGCATTGAGCGTTTGGCCTACTGCACCGGCGGTGAGATTGTGTCCACATTCGAGAACCCCGCTCTGGTCAAGCTTGGCGAGTGCAAGCTCATTGAGCAGGTGATGATCGGCGAGGACACACTGCTGCGCTTCAGCGGCGTTAAGCTGGGCGAGGCTTGTACCATTGTCATTCGTGGCGCCACACAACAGATCCTGGACGAGGCTGATCGTTCCCTGCACGATGCGCTATGCGTGCTGGCTGCCACCGTCAAGGAGTCGCGCATAATTTATGGCGGCGGCTGTGCTGAAGCTCTGATGGCCAATGCCGTCATGAAGAAGGCATCCGAAACACCCGGCAAGGAAGCTATTGCCATCGAGGCCTTTGCACGTAAGTAGAGCAAAGAGCAAAGCTCGTAAATTGCATCATTGATTAATGTATTTCGCTGTTGGCTTCCCCAGGTGCACTGCTGTCACTGCCCACAGCTATTGCCGATAACGCTGGCTTAGATTCAGCTCAACTGATCTCCGAGCTGCGCGCTGGCCATGCCCAGGGCAAGCATCAGCTGGGTCTGGATATGAACGAGGGTAAGGTAGCTGATGTGCGCGCATTGGGCATCACAGAGTCATTCGCCGTGAAACGCCAAGTCCTGATGTCTGCCTCCGAGGCAGCCGAAATGATTCTCCGTGTGGACGACATCATCAAGTGTGCACCTCGTCGCCGTGTGCCCGACAGGGGCTACTGCTAAACACTAATTCTTCTTAAGTATTTTTGTCTAGGATTTTTTTTTAAAACCTTAGAACTCTCGTTTAACATCATCGCTAATTTTATAATTCTGTTTAAACTAATAACCACAAAGACACACACACACACATTCACACGTAAGCCTACACACACACACACACACACACTTGTACGCAATTAGCTTCTTCTAAATTGTCTGTGAAAATTATTTCAAGCCTGTTTTTGTTACACGAATTACTACTATTGCGCAAGCTCAGCTTATAACACTAAAGGGAGGACCGAACAAAAACATCTAAAAATAAAAAGAAAAACACATTTCAAAAATGTCTAAAAACCAAACAAACAAAAATCACACACACAAACAATTTGTAAATGAATACAATTTTTGTAAACATTTTACGTGCGCCAATTGATGCGAATTACACAGCAAAGAAAAAATAAAACAAAGGAATGATATTTATGCTTAACAAACTAAAAGTTTCAAAGTTGTTTTTATTCTAGTTTGTAAGAATATATCTCAATCAAGATAGATTATAAATACTGATGTAATCACAATAGACCATCTATATAATCCATGCGCGCTCCAAATGAAACAATTGAGGAATAACATTGCAAAAAATACTCTTGTCATATATATTTATTCTTTTTTTTTTTATGTTTTACAATAATAACTTGCAACTTAGTAGATCTAGAGAAAAAAACATATTTAAAACGTGTCGTTCGAAGTCCCGTTTGGAAACTGCAATTGTCATTGGCGTGTAAAATTCAATCAATCAATTATTGTGATAATACATATTCAATGTATGCGGCGGAAGCGTGCACTTTGATCGTTGCTGGGAGTGTACAGAGATTGTTGTGTTGGTGCGTTTGGCTCCCGGATTGCCTGCCGCTCAAGAATTTCAACAAAAAAGAAACACATTAACAAATTGCTGAGTAGGCGGATGGTCTACAAAATACATATATACAGCAGCATTGCCGAGTCGGGGCGGATCTCAGACTTAACATATCGTTGGGCTAAATACACGGCCAGACGCAAGTACGACGCGAGCGAGCGAGCGAGAGAGAATGAGACTGTGTGCCTACAGCCAGATAATCAAAGAGAGAGAGATAGTGTGATAACAAGAGAGAGCGAGAGCGAGAGCTAAAGACAATAGCATAAGTCGTCGATAGTACAGTACATGGCATTAAGTGAGCGTCGTCCTGCAGACGCTTTGCTTGTTTCCAGGTTGAGTGTAGCGTTCGCACATTGGCTTTAGGAGATTGCGCATTCCATTTCACCATGCTTGGGCACACAGTCCAGCACTAGAGCGACGGCGCGCGACAAGTACGTCATGGTTCCATAGCTGCCGCTGGGTGCACTGAGAGCATAAGGGAGCGGATATAGTATTTACTTGATTGGAAGTGTGATTCAAGGGCTCTTACCTATCGTAGAGATGTTGACAAATGTAGGCAGCACCACCGCAGAGCAACATGCCGGAGGCAGCCTGTTGCTGCTCCTTGCCATCCTTGAGCTTGGCACAGCACAGCGTCGCATCGCCCTGCACCTTGCGCTGATCCTCTAGGAACAGCTGATTCGCCTTGTGCACCAAATGCTCGACACAGATGATGTCACCCAACGAGGGCACCATGTTGTGCTCGGTGACCAGGGTCAGCACCATAAGCGCCTCAACAACCAGCTGCCTGTACTCCGGCTGGGGTATTTGATTGAGTGCCGTCTCGACTTCCAAGGCGAATTTAAGCTCTCCCGGCGTCATCTCCTGCGTAAGGCTCTGCTGCAGTACGCGACCCTCAATGGCGAGTCCTTGACACTTCTCCAGCACGGTCCAGACGCGCGAGTAAAAATCACGTGGAACGCGATTCAGGGCGCCGTCGAGTCGCCGGCGGCGCAGCCACTGGCCCTGGCGATCGTCGATGGTCGCCGTTAGCGCATCCTCACCCTCCGGATCGCCGAGTCCAATCTGACTCTTCTTGCTGACCCGACTCGACTTGCAGCTCACTATCGACAGATTGCCACGAGCCACTGCACGGGAACGGGAACGGGAATGGGAATGAGACGAGTGAAAAGAGAATGGGAATGAGCCGAGAGCAATGCTCTGGCATAGACTTACCGCTGCTGACCGCAAACTCTTTGCCGCTGAGTATGTGGTAGAGCAAGTTCTTCATCTCGAAGGGCGACAGATTAAGTAGATGCTCCGAGGCAGCCTCGCCGTCACAGTTAAGCGTGCGCGACAGCTCCTTGGCCATGACCTGAATGATGAGGCCCACGCGCAGACGCAACATCTCGTGGAACAGCTGCGGCTCAGTGCGTATGAACATGGCCAGGTAGACCATCAGCTCCTGTGTCAACATTGCTGTGCTCTCATCGTCGCCGTAGGCCTGCAACAGGGAATGGTGCGGGATTAGTATGAGGCACGTAACCGGAACTGCGTTTGCTGGCTACCCACATCGTGTATTAGCTGACGCAGCTCAACCTCCGGCAAGGGTGCCGTTATGGTGTGCTCGTTGTTGGGCGGCATGCCGACGGTGACCTGCTTCTGGCGCACCAGCAGATCGGTGACCGCCTTGCCCAGATCCTCGACGCGCTTGCCCAGCATGCCGGCTGTATGGCGCACCAGGCCCCAGAGCTTCTCCTGGCAGGCCTTCTCGTACAGGCCCTTCAGCAGATCCCTAATGGTCACCACACGTCCCTCCTCCAGCATGCCTTCAGAGTGAGAAGAATCGTTGTTATTCAAGATGTTGTTCTTGTTGTTGTTGCTGCTGTTATTGGCGGCGGCGGCGGCGGCGGAGGCGGAGGCGGAGGCGGAGGCGCCGGTCAGATTGGCATTGTCCTCGTCCTTAGATGTGGGAGACGTGGCATCGATGATCACTGTAGGCACAGCCGCAACCACAGGCTTGCCCTCACCAGCACCAGCAGCAGCAGCAGCACCAGCAGCTGCACCACCACCACCACCAGCAGTTGACAACTCGAGCATTGCATCGTCCACGAACGCTTGTTCGAGCTCTTTATTGTATTGTTTTTTTTTTTTTTTGTTGTTGTTGTTGGTTAGTTGGATTCATTTGTGGGGGTTAGGTTGACGGGCCATTGGTAGTTGGTAGTTGATGATGCAGAAGAGTTTTTGATAGATCGTTTCACCGTTAATGACATGAAGAGCAGATGAAGCGGATTGTTATAATTGTTGGGTACGATTATTGTATGTGTGTAAGTGTATGTGTGTGTGTGTGTGGATGTGTGTCGAGAGCATTGAAAATAAAATATATAAAAAAATAAAATTGGTTATTAAATTAGTTCGTGAATAAAAAGCATTAATAAATAAGGCGAAGCCAGTGTATCAAAGTCTCTCGCAGCTTGTATTAGAGTTAAGCACCGTGTATAACAGTTTGTGTGTGACATGTGTGGGAAAGAGAGAGATAGAGTGTGCAGTACAGTTAAACTTAAATGCAATTGTGCCAACAGAATACCAAAGAGAAAGACCGTTAACAAATGAACCGAACCGAATCGAACAGAATCGTCTCAAAGACAATGGAGATTGAATTGATATGTATATGTATGTGTGCGGATATACTTAGATATGCTATGCCAATTGTTGTTTCGGTGGGGGAGTAGGTGTGGTTGTGGTTGTGGGAGTAGGAGTGGGACGGTGGCTTGGGTCACAGTTGCATAGCACCAACAACATTGTACAATTAGCCCAACGCACATGAAGGACACCAAGGATCAAGGATTGAATTTCAACACTTACCAGCGGCATTGTCATCAGTTTTGTGCCTTAAGCCCAGACCCGCTATGGATGCGGATAGCGATGCGGATGCGAATGTGAAGAGTGGACAAGAACGAGAGCACAAAGCACATATACAAAGAACGAACGCACAAAACAATTAAATGTGATTTAGATCGATAAGTATCGACATTAGGATCAAGCCGTTATCGATTTCACAATGAGCTTCAAGAAAATGAAATTGCAACGTGAAATGAAAAACTTTTCTTTCTCCCTTTGAATTCCGAATGAGGTCTAGATTTCTTTTCTCTTTTATGCAATCAACATGTTTGCCATTAATTAGGTAGGTAATCTAAAAAACATTACGAATACTTCATTGTGAAATCGTACAGCAACACCGAAACTCCTCGAGAAACCCATTGAACCAGCCACGCACAACAAAATTCTAGAAGAAATATTCTTTTCTTGTCCTATGCCTATAGAGTATATACATGTATGTGTGTATTTCTGTGTGTGTGTGCACGCGTGTGTATGCCTGTGTGTGTGTGTGATTTCCCGCAGTGCTATAGAGGTGCGGTTCAGCAATCAGTAATCCTCGAACCGGGTGAATCGGTTCAGTTAAACCGTTTGCAAGGCAACGTCTCTACAGCCCAGTGATGTGTGTGGGCCCGTGGATCAGCTACTTACCCGTATTGAAGTCCAGGCCTTGAGTATCGACCAGATATTGTAGGATGTCGCCCTGCTCCTCGAGATTCTCGGTTTCGCGCAGCATCGCGATCAGCTCATCCACCTCTGTGTCCGCAAAGTTGGTGTCCACGCGATGGCGTTGAATGAGAATTTTGGGCACAGTTACTTTGGGTATTTGATCAAGTGGTGCAAACAAAACAAATCGCAAAAGTGTCAACCAAAACGAAATGATAAACCATACAAAAGAAGAGAGAAATCAAGATTAGCACCGAATCGGAGCAAACAAAGGAAAATTGTGCTTCTTGGATAAAAGGACTAACTCTCTTGCTGGCGCACAAATTCGCTGCGGCGATCGATGGCCGAGCGGCTGTGCTGCGGATCCATGGGGTAGATGTTCTCGCGCAGACCCAGATCCCCGCCCAGGTGCGGCGGCGAGCTGGGCCCCTCCTCGGGCGTGGTGGCAAAGGTGCTGACGTGACCCTGCTTGTTGGGCTGCAGCCAGGGCGGCGGCACGATCGACGAGAGGCGGCGTTCGGTCAGTGGCGTCGGTCCCTCCATGCCCAAGTTATCGGCTGGGGGCGAGAGAGGGAAAGCATTTATTGAGAATGTGAGATCATCAGCCATCATATCTACAGCACACTTACAGTCCACATTGATGGAACGCGTCTTCTTGATGGCGCCCTTGCAGGACATGCGTCGGCGCAGGTGTCGCGGACGGAGCTGACCGCCGCGTAGATTCATGGTGCTGCGATTGCTGAACGAGCGCAGCAGATGCTCATCCAAATAGGTCTGAACGTCCGGATGCAGCCGGTCCGGATAGCCGTCCTCGGTGCTGCCCAGGAAGCTCAAGTCCGTGATCGCCGAGGTGTTGAGAAAGTCCTTCAGGTTGCCCAGCATGACCCGAGTGCCATTTATGTAGCCCGACTTCAGCTTGCGCATCGTCTGGATCATGGCCAGCGGAATCTTGTCCTGGTCTGTGAGCGCATTGCAGCAGTCATAGAAGGAAAACCGTTAGCTAAATCCGATCGGAATCGCATGCGCATTGTTTTGTATGGCTTGGTATTAGACTGACTGATCGATCGATCGATGCTTGGTGGGATTAGGCAAGTGGTGCGTGGTTAGCTGGTGCCGCTTACATCTAGATTTTAATCACAAACTACAACAGTAACCGACAGACGCCAAGATCAACTCCGAACAGCCGTTGCCATTCGCTAACTAATTAGCATAGACCAGCACCAAAGTTGGGTGAGTTTTTAGATTAGTTTAGTGGGTGCAGCACAAGCAGAGGTGCAGTTAGATAGGGGACGAAGCGGGGCTACTTAAGTTCTAGATGGGGAGCTAAGGGGCTAGCATTTATCAATGGGGCACTTGGAGGGACTGGTTGATGCGGTTAGGCAAGGAAAGGGAGTACAAACAGAGTTGTGTCTACAGAGTCTCCATTTAACTAAGGAGTTTGAAAGAGTTTTGGACTTGCTTGATCAGTAACTGACACCAGAATAGATAAAATGATAAGGTGGGTGTGTTCCTCCAAGCTTTGCTACTCCTTGAAGTGTAGAGCTTTCGTTTCAAAACCAAAAATTCCCTTATTAACCAGAAGATATCTTGTTCTCAGTGCAACTAAAATACATTTCTCGTAATATGCGAAAAGTGTTGTCCAACTATAATTATATGTTTAGTAAGTGGAGATTTAAGAAGGGCTTTAGCCTATCCCTTAAAATTAATTTTTTGAAAGTTTCTTAAGATGAGATTACAGATGAACTCAAATAATACTCTGTTTCTAGAGTGCCTTCACTCAGTTTTCTCTACTTTCTACTATCTAGATAGCTGTGAGGTTTTACACCCAAATTTAAGCATTTTAAGATATTTACACTCATAAGTCCACACTCTATATATTTATATATATGATATCTGTTGAAAAAGTATAGCGAATTTGTTATTCTTATCATATATTTACTTATGTCTCATATTACTACTTTTTTTCAAAAATCTTGGTACTAATTTTCTATTTTTGCCTATTTTTCTTACCCATACCATAACAGTTATCTTATGACTTTTCGCCTTATAACTTTTTCTTGGTCCCAAAACTGAAGAGAGTCTCTTGAAAGAGGTTGAGTAGGAGGAGCCGGAAAAAATTGGAAATAATTCCTTTCATGGACATTATTTTGAAGCAATGATGGGTATTACTATAGATGGGTATTACTATAGAATAGCAAAAAATAGAATATAAGCGACACTTTTTGAACATATTCATCGATATATATACATGTATATATAGGCATTTATATGAATTAGATAATTAGGGAGGTTTTGTATAAAAACAACAAGAAGAATAAGAAGCAAAAGCGCACAAAGCTCAATGCATACAAAGAAACCCCCAACATAGCATAGAACAGATCATATCACTTGCGTTTATATGTATTTACATATATGCATACATATGTATATATATAATTATATATGTATGCATGTATACATGTGTGTGTGTGTGTATATATGGGGTGTGTGTGTGTGTGTGTCTGTGTGACTGCATATGCAGTTCTTAATAGGAAATCGGGTATAGTTGGGTGTGGTTGGAGGTTTGTTTGTGGATTGTGTTTCGTGGGTTTCGAGATGTAGTTACCTAGCATATAATGCGTAGCCATTAATGTGATTGTCGGCCTGCCCAACATGTGACGCCAATTGTTGGTCAAGAAGCCTAAGTTTGTGGTAAAATTGCTAGCGAGCAGATCGGGATCGCGTGTCGTGTAGTATTCTTCATAGTCGATATGCTGTGTGTGTACAAATTATTGTTGTTGTTTTTGCCGTTGGTTAAGCACGTATTATACAAAAAGAGAGAGAGCAGAGAGAGAATTTTGTTTCTATTTCGGCCAATTTGTATTGTGGGAAATCGGATCTCTTTCTTTCATTAGGTTTTTTTGGGATAGGAATATAGTGCAAAGCATAGAGAAATAAATGATATCGAAGGAACAAAATAAGCTACTTATATGTATAGAAATGTATGTATATAATTATATTTATGTTCATTTATGTATATTTATGAGATCTGCAAACTGATTTAGGCATACAAAACGGATGAGTCTTGGATCGGAAAGAGATATGATTATCACATATATATATATATATACATATATATATATCAAGAGGATTCTCTGCACAGCTGTTTGAAGAATCTCCCAGCTTGGAGATCAGTCGAATACTCAATCGATTGCTGTTTTGTCTTCGCACCAAGCTGTAACCATTTGAGAATTTTATGGCTGCAGCTTGGGAATATACCAATGTATATGTACATATATCATCATGTATGAATATTTAAATATATACATAGATATACATGTATTTATATATAGAGAAAGTATATACATATATTCTATAATACAAATGCTATGACTTGAATATACGTATATATACATATATCAGTGTGTGTGTGTGTGTGTGTGTGTGTGTGTGTGTGTGTGTGTGTGTGTGTGT